CTTAAAAAAAAACCCATAAAAGGCAAGAAATCTTAACCATATGTTCATCAATGACCCTATTTGATTCTACTGAAATTTTTGTCCTTTTAAAGATGATTCTATCCCAGTTGAAGTGATGTATAGGAGTGTTATATGCGGTAACCTCAATTGTACAAAGTTTAGATATTTTTGTAAATATATTTGATTTGCTCAATAACTGTGCTACATTGTGAACAGGTATCTTATCAATCAAGTGAAGGTGATAAGGGCTTATTTATTGGGTTTATACATCTATGATTCCACCAATAATCCGAAGTATGACTGTTTATACCTTACGCAATGGTAACGATATAGTACTTCCGTTCTGCAGACTTGCATTAACTAAGAATCGATCATTTATTCCATCAACTATATATAAGTCTATGGAATAACCTTGATACTTCAACCCGTGAAGCAGATACAATAGGAAAACTTAAAATGAAACTAAAAAACTTAAATCCCAATAGTAATAAATGGAAAACGCAAACTCAACATTATTCTTACCCAACTTCGATGCTATGCTTCCTCCTTAAATTATGATTTGTATAGAGTTAATATTATTTCTGATCCATCTTGCCGCTGCGGCAAGATAATGCGGCTGCGACATCGAGAAGATTCGCATTATTTCTTTTTTAAATGTATATTATATTCAGAAAAACGAAGTAAATGTTTAGAAAATCTTAGCTGGCTACAAATAATTGTCCATTAAATATAGAACTATTAACCTCCGTTAAGGAGTCTACTTACTCAGGAGCAAAATGAAAATACATGTATCTTTAAACATGTGTTTGAGTTTATTAGAGGGTTGAATACATTCCTTAATGTTTAGATAGTAAACATGACCACACACATCATCATCTAAGTTCAGTTGTTTTTCGTTTTTTTTTATTTTGTTTTGTTTTTTTTTTGTTTTTTTAAATCTTTTTTTTATTAATTTATTTCCATGTTGTTTTTTTTTTTTTTTTTTTTTTTTAGTGTTTTTTTTTATCCTTTTCTTCTCCTTTTGTACAACTTAATTTTGCTGTCCAATTTATACAAATGTTGAAATAATATGTACTGTATGCATGCTCTTATATATTGTATTGTTAAATATGTTAAATGGAGAAGACTTCATACGTCTGTTTGACTTGTGTCTCATCCAATTTGTGTTTATGCAACTAAAATATGTTTAAACTAAAACTAAACAATAAACGAAAAACAAATATGACAGACATGCAGCTATATATTCCGGCGACAACAACTGAATTGTATGTTCTGGTCTGACTTGGAACAAGCACCTATGTGTCGGGGTTAAACGTGTTTCTGATCACCACTCAACCGCCTTACCTCGGACAGTGTTGTACAGCACAACATTAGAACAAAATGTTAATATCAGTTGAACAAGAGGCACACCTGAGCATGTATCTCTCACCTGGTAAACAAATCGGAAGTTTGTTTATTAGGACTCTTATATGGATATACTATAGTTACTCTTTCTATTGCTGGTCATTTTCCCAATTTAAATGTTTAAGCTAGCTCCTATAGGTTTTTAAATGACAGCCAAATCTACAAAAAAAGTAAACATCAACATTTCAGGGACAATAACTCAAAAATGGGTTGTAAAAAATATCAGAGTACCCGTAGATAAATCTTGTCATGCTGATTGTTTTTGCAGTTTACGCTATTAACCTAGCAATAACTCCAAAACAGGTTGACTATTTTTTCTCCATGCACCTTTCAGGTGTCTTTTGACAATATACACTTTTAACATAGTTTCTATAGTTTTCATGATAACAGGCAACAAACTGCTAAAATTAGAAAAATAAATATTTCAGGGGCAGTAACTCCTAAACAAGATTTTTCTCAACTTTTCAGGTTGAATCATCTTGTCATGCTTATAATGTTTGCAATTTACACTTTTAACCTAGCTCCTATAGTTTTTGAAATGATGAAAAGAAAATGCTTAAAAAGTTCACATCAACATATCAGCTGGCAATAACTCCATAAAGGTAATGAAGTTGAAAATTTTCCCAACCTTTTCATGGTAGATATAGAACTTGTTGTGCTGACATTTTTTATTCTGTCAGTTTTTCTTTAGTTGCTACAGTTTTAGAGATATTAGCCAAAACTGTTGTTTGGCCACTATGTTCTATTTTTAGATACGGTGGCCATTTTTGGATGATCAACCTGGACAAAAATCACAACTTTATAGTTGACATCCTGTATTATAGAAGAAGCAGACAAAAATTTCGTTTTCGATATCCATTTAGCATTTTCAGAGGAGAAGATTTTAAAATGAAGGTTTAAAGACGACAGACGACGGACGTAAAGTGATGGTAAACAGAAGCTCACATGGCCAAGTGACACATCAGACCGGCACAGAGTAAAAATAACATGTAACAAAAAGACTTAAGACACAAAGAATCAGTCTAAGAATACAGAAAGCTATAGTTCAAAATCAATCACAACTTATGAATAAATCATGTTTCCCAAGAATAAAATATCAATCAGTATACATCCAATGGATTTAGTACCAATTTAAGGACGTTATAAATAATTTGAGAAAAAAACATCACATTGTACAACGCCAAAATATAAGTATAGAAATCAACGTAAGAAGAGGATGTGATATCCTGTTTGTAATTAGTTTCTTTAGATACGGCCAAACTTCCAAGCCAAAGGAACATACCCGTCCAAAAATGCCGATTATGGAATATTATCAATAGGGAATAAAAAATCAACCCTTTTGTTGTAATTATTGGTATAGAGTTTCCCGTGTGAACCTTTAATATCTAAATCTAGTTATTGTTGTTTATTTTACGTATTAAGTTATAGTAATTTCCTGTCGGTAATTTTCGGCAGTGTGTTTAAGATTCATGATAATATCATAAAGAAGTAAAATAACAAAAAATACCGAACTTCAAGAAAAATTCAAAACGGAAAGTCCTTTATCAAATGGCAAAATCAAAAGCTCAACCACATCAAACGAATGGAAAACAACTCGTCATATTCCTGACTTGGAACAGCCCTTTCCTGATGTAGAAAGTGGTGGGTTAAACCTGGTTCTATAGCCAACTAAACCTCTCAAAGGTAATGGCTGTTGAACTTATCAATTAAATGGAATCAAGGATTTATGTAGTAATAGACTATATAAATCCTTGATGGAATATAGACGGATCTTTACTGAGTTGCCCCAGAAACTGTGATTCGTATTTTAATACATGCATGCAGGAACATGCAAGTCTATTATCAAATGGGCTCAATTGGTGCCCATTTGATTACCAATATGGAATATTGAAAATATTTCAGCAGAAAAAAATGTGGGCGATGGATGACGCTACTGTTAAAATTTCCGAAAACTAACTTAAAGTATGTCAAATTTTGCAAAAATTCAGGTTTTAACGAAATTCATCTACATTCATGGCGTCACAAATATATCAATAATAACGCAATTGGTGGAAATCTTTTTTTAATGAATCAATTCGACACTTTAACATTTGGTTTCATTAAATTCTCATATTATTATCGCGGTTAAAAATAATCAGATTTTAAGGGCCAAAATTATGGGTTAGTGAACCACCTCCTTTCAAATGCTTTTGGTCGATTTTAAATGCTTTCTTCACAAATGTTTAGCTACTTTGAAAGAATTCATTTAGTTATGTTTCAGAAAGTAAAAACAGCAAATAGAAAATAACAATAACAATGTATAGCAAAACATTAGTAAAGAGAAAATATCAGGAAAGCAAACAGAAATAGAAAATACTGCCCCCGAGGTCATTATGAGAGAAATACAATACAGGCCGGTCGGGCTTGTGGTAGTGATACTAGACAATTTTTTTCAGTATACGGATATGGATAGTAAACTGCACATTGCTAGAAAACAAAGAAATAGTGATGTCAACGTCAAATACGTTAATAAAGTAATACAAATAGACAGGAAATAATAATAAAAAAGAACATTGATTAACAAACTTTTAATCTGCTAACCGAGTCCCTGTGATACTAGACTGATTTGTATAACATGCAATACAAATCTATACCTACCCTCACAGATCCTTTTCAAAAATCATATACATCAGGGGCGGATCCAGGATTTTAGGTTAGAGTGGGCGCAAACTTAAATTTTTTTAGGTGAAATTTTTATAGAACTTAAATAACCCGTAGGTCAGTTGATTAGTAATCACGTTGATTCTGTTAAACTTGCGGTTTTATATACTTTGAATGTTTACACGGATGGAATGCGACGACATTAACTTTCGTCGTCTCTTCAGATGCCGTTTATTAAGCTGAGGACAACCCATGCTTTGCAAATTTTAGGGTGGGCTCACGCCCGCTACGCCCCCGCCTCAATCCGTCCCAGTACATTGTAGGACAATCGACAGAAATAACAGAAAGGTCGGTAATCCATTAAAATGCATTCCAAGGAAACAGTTCTAGTTGACAACATTTGATAAAAAATTATGCCAAAAAAAATAAACTGTTGCTATTTTTTTTAAATCAAAGTTGAATATGTCTGTCTTTAGATTAAAAGAAGAGAACAACAGAGATAATATATGTCTCTGATAACTCAGTACAAGTTTAATCAAGGAATTGTATATCTAAAAGTGATCATAAACAATAAATTGACATATAAAAATTTCAAGCAAAAAAATGGTTGAAGGTCTTACGGTGACCTATAAATTGTACTCAAATCCACGTTATTTTGACGTTGAAATCTTTCAGAAAACAATAATATAGCAGATGCGGAGTAAATATCTCATTTAAATCTCGCGCCATTTTTACTAAATACATTTTGGCGGGTAGTGTTCTTGAATAAAATACTAATATTGAGAAGCTATTAATCTGCAGTAGGAATTCTGACATTTTGATTGCTAATGTACAAACTTGGTTTTACACTGATTCACGCCAAATATAAAAATGATAACGAGAAATGATAATTTTCAAGTTTGTTTTGGTTTAAAAAGTCGGTCAAACAGCGCCACCTCTTGGGATTTCCCTACAATATGGCGCGACTGAGGTTCCCCGGTCGTCCTGGCTGTAGATTTGGCCGATTAGGTGTCCGATATGGTGCCGATGAGGCTGATAATTTCCAGGATCCCGTGTTAGCATGGGTTGCTAATATACACAGAGGATTGCGACAATTCAGAGAACTATGCGGGGAATCTGATGAGGTAACTAAACTTGTTACATTTCACTCATTCAAAATGGCTTCCACCGATACTGTTTACCGTTAAAACGTACATATTTCGTCAAATTTTATATAATGCAAGCAATTCCATGCGTTCAGATATAGATTCTAGTAAAATTCAGACTAACAGCAAATACATGCATATAAATATTGCTATCAATCATTTAGAATTGCAGAACAATTTGTACTTTTTCAGAGGTGATAATTCATATTTTCAAACACATCAGGTCAAAATGGCTGAAAAAGATGTTCATTTCTTGCATCAGTCTTATTTATAGACAGTAACAGTTAACAAATTATCTTAGTGATGATGTTCATTGACAGTTGAGTCTATAATCATCATTCAACAATACAAGTGTTCATTTCTGACATTTTCTGTCTTATTTTTTCAAAAGACTGCCATTTTTTCAATTGCAATGTTTGTGTGCTAGTTGAAACATATTTTATTATTCAAAATAACAAAGAAGTCGCACATAAGTTTTACAACTTTGTACCGTCTTGTTTTGTCTGTTGCTGTGTGTCTGAATTGCCTCAAAAAGTGATTTTCAAGTAAATGAATATTGTAGTTTTCCTGTTAGTTTGTGAATATTGTAGTTTTCCTGTTAGTTAGTGTCGCACAATTTTATATTAATATCTGAAAAGCACAAACTTTCAAAATGTGTAAGCAAAATCTTTCACTGTGATGTCTTTTGTCGTAATGTAATTTGTTTTCACATATGCTTATGCAGAGGGAATGAAACATCTTATTTGAAAATTATTGGAGCCAGTTATTGCTATTAACTTGATAAAAGTGTATAATATATAGCATGTTGTAGATAATAAGATTATTTTTGAATAATTCAACTGAGGCGTACTTAGAACAATGTTTTTTTTTTCGGAAAATTTGAGTAAATTAGACACCATGTGCATTCCTTCAATCCTTGCAAAGGAACACATACATTAGAGACAAAGTATATTCTCCTGTATCTTACTTCTATATGTGTTGAGAAGTTTTTTGTTAGTTTTGTTTAAACCATATAAAAAAAGGAAATTATTTATGAATAGTAAAGATCCAGATTTTTGGAAGGAGGTGTAATTGCATAAAATGAAATAATACATGCAAGTTTCAAGCGACTAAGATTTTGTGTACGATTTAATGCTAAAAAAATTAAATATTTTCCAATCAAAGGGGGGTCTTACCTATATCTTTGCTATCCTTTATTTAAAATCGATGGGATAGAAACCTTAAAAATAATTACAAACTTTAACTATTTAGTGAGATGAAACTATCTATAAAACAAATTTGTCAATAAGATAAAAAAAATAAAAAAGTAAAAATAGTTATGACCTATAGCTTCTGGCCATATTTTTTTGTGGCTGGGGTGGAGGTACATGGAGGAACCAGGCTTTTTTTTTAAATACATCATGCACACAGAGAACTGATTCATAAACACCAAGCACTGCTATACCCAGGTTTGTCTCTCTAAATAGTCACAGTAAATACTCCCATCTGTGCCACCCTAACAGCTGAATAAGGTATAGAAATATGGTAATCCCTGGACTTGCTCCATCAGGTAGTAAAACCCTTACTCAACTGGGGTGTCCATTTGACTGTGCATGAAGTGTAAATTTACAGCACTGTCTAGTCTTAATGGGGATGTTAAATCTGATGAATCTTGTAGTATAATGCTCTCCGCCCATTGAAGAACCCTGAGGGATATCTATTCTGTACTAATGGAATATGGTCAAAGCATTTTGAATAATTGGTTATAGACTATATTTGACATGCACAAGTATTACATGCATGAATATATGTATATAAGGAAAAGTTTGTTATTAAATGTCTGCAATAGTTGCAAATAAATTATAAACTGATTTATTATATAGTACTATTAGAAATCAATCAAAGCATGCTGTTTGATTATTCTGATCAATTGATTAGAATTCCCAATAAAGTATTAATATGTTTCCAGGATGATGAGTTTCAAGGGTTTACTGTTCAGGATGTCAGAGCTGCTGAAAAGAAACTCTCAAAATATGAGGCCGACTTGTATGGAGAGGAAGAAGAAACCACTGTTTCCACTGTTTCTCCCGACACTAGCTTTAGTCCAACATCAACACCAACCATATCAACCAGGTTTACTAAACAGAAGGAGAGTATTGAAAATTTACCTACATCTGAAAGGACTAGGAATAGGCAAAAAACAGTCATTCCCCGTTCATACAAAGACTTACTTAAGAAAGGAATCACTAAACCTACAAAGTCTTATGTTGTAAAGTCGCGTAAAGATGTAGTTACTCCACAAGCAGAAACAAGGCATGCACTTGCATCCTACCACAAAATGCCAAAGGTTGTCTCCCCTGAAATGCGTAAATTTTATGAACAAGGTTACAGAATCAGATTATCAGGGCGGTTTAAGGGATCAAGAGTGATATTTGGAGTCGGTCTACCTAAATATTTAAATATTGTGACTCGTAAATCATATGTTTCTATAGGTTCCCCATCTAGTTCCATTGACCATATAGATGATTCACCAGAACAGTACTATCTGAAGCCATACAAAAAGAGGAAAGAACGAGATAAGAAATTTACAGTTGTTAGTTCTATAGCTAAAAAAGGTAGCAAAAACATTGCAAAGTCTTTACTTGACAAGGCTAAGAAAGGTAAAGACGATTCTGCAGCGAAGAAACACAAATTACCGCCAAAGAAAAAGCAGTTTGTATTACCAACACAAAGTTCAAGGTCATCAAGAGTCATTATACCAACCAAAAGATTTATAGAAGACGAAATTAGCCCTATAACCAAGAAAAAGAAAGAAAACCTCTTTGATACTTCATTAACATCAAGTTTTAAACAACCATTTACATCACCATCATCACAGAAAAAAATGGACAAACTTACAATTCAGACGGACTTTCCAAGCACTGCAGGATTTGGCTCATTTTCTCCAAGTAAGAATACATACATAGACTTATGTAAAATTGTACATGTACAGTATTATATGTGTTAACTTTTATATAAAATCGATTGACAATAAATGAATGTATATATTTTGAAACATGTGACAAATAAATCAAGAAAATAGTAGTTACAAAGCAATAGAGTAGGTCTTCATCAAATTTACTTAATGTTTTTATATATAAATAATATGGAAAACAGAGGTTTTATTATTGAAATATTATAGGTTGCATTATGTATAAATATGACCTTGAATGATACATGTATGTTAAACTTTACAATGTTTAGATTATTTGTCTGTTAAACATATCTAAGCATGATAATCATATGAATGTGTATACTGATACAGATAGATACCTATTCACATTTATATATGTGCATAAAAACTAACCTTTCAACTTTAAATTGCACAGTATAACACTTTTTTCTAGGTATATACAGAAAAGCTAGTCTATTTGACCAGCCATTGATTACTGAAGGTAAAAGAGAGAGAAGACCGAGTCAAAAAGTGAAAATGGTTGAAGGAACAGAAAATGAATATAAAAGTCCTTTTAGATCTGATGACTTCAATGAGGCAAGGAAGGTCCATTTAACACCATCAAAACTTGGTCAAAGTTTGCATTCTCCAACATTGTCACCCCCAATTATAATGGCACCACCTAAATTTGGTAGCACACCATTTAGATCACTTACACAGCAAAACATTGAAGTAGAGGCTACAAAACGTAGTGGACATAATATTCTACGGAAAGCTAAATTACAGCTAAATAGAGCAGCGCTGAATAGGTCTAAGGCAGCATTAGCTAAATCATTGAAGAAAGAAATGAAGAGGGAGGAGAAAAATAAGAAGAGATTAGATGAATCTGCTTTAGGTTATTCTACATATACTGGAGGATCTCAGACCTACATGGACAAAGAAGGACCTGAAAATGATCCTGATCAAAACACAGGTGAGGGATGTATTTAAAAAAATTACCGTGATCAAACGGCGATTAATAAATCCTTAATTTCAAAAAGAGAAAGTTAGCAGTACTTACTTACAATATTTGAGGTGTAATCGCAATGATGGTGACCAAAAAAGAAGTATATCTGAGCATGTTTTAACTTGATTTAGGCTGAAAAATATGGGTACATGTACATATTTGTTTACGGTACCAGACATTTAAACTGGTGAGTTGTAATCATTTCCATAACTGCAGACTTGTATGACAAAACCCCCTTCTCCATCATCTCCTGTACAACCAAGATATAGGTGATCAAAGTGGTGTGACAGTGTGGCACATTTCAGTAAGCGTGTGTAACTATGGGAAATTCATACAAAATAAGAAACACACATGCATTACATAAGCATTTATAGTTTAGCCTAATCATTTAATTGAGTTTGTTTAAGAAAAATATTGAAGGAATAAAAAAACTTGTGTTTTAATATTAATTGAAAACAATAGCAAAAAGAATCAATTTCAAAATGTTCAAAACAAGTTATTCAAACGAAAAAAGTGCAAAATTTGTTTAATTTGTATGATATTATTTTATTTTCTGATATAATTTACATTTGTGTATCAATCTGCCTTGTTTTACTAACAAATGGTGTGCATATATTTTTATAGATTCAGTATCTCATTGAATAAGAGAGTATGAAAACATTAAAACTTTAAAGAAATTTTTTTTTCAATCATATCAGTTCCAGAAAATATCTAGGTTGAAGGTCATACGGTGACCCATAGTTGTTAATTTCTGTGTCATTTGGTCTCTTGTGGAGAGTTGTCTCATTGGCAATCATACCACATCTTCTTATTTTGATATTCATGCATAATTAATAGTACAATGTACAAAATGTTTGAAAGACATCTGACACTTGTAACAATGTTAAACAAATGCATTATTTATCTGGATCCATGGATAAAAATCCTAATAACTAATTCAATATCAAGTTTTATGATTTAGCAAACTGAATTAGGTATTAATAGGTATATTGCTACTGTAAATGAGGTCCAGTCACAAAGGTACCAGTAAGTTAAGAAGGATTCCATTCAAGAAATGACTAGGAAAATCTAATAATTTTTTTTTTTTAATTTCAGAAAAGATATATACCTGTAAAGTGTGTGGAGCTACAAGTAATAATAGAAACAATATGATAAGAGGTGCAATATGTAATCCTTGTTATAAATGGCATAAACGAGATCCAGCCTTGGGAAGAGAACCCTGTCAGAACAAAGGTGCATATTCCAGAGATATTTTCTGTTCTCCAAACATTTGACAAACACCAAAATTTGTCTACAGTTACTTTACAAAACAGGGACAGACAGATCAAAAGTTGTAGATGCATATTGGCTCTGCCAACTATGAACCCATGCTTGCAAAGTTTCAATAAGCTTCAAAATTTTTGCAATTATATTTAAAATATCCTTACTACCATCCAGATTCAGATGTTATTTGCTTTATATGGCTTTTTATTTCATTATACAACAAATGTATTTATATTAAGAATAATAATATGTTTCAATAAAAGTATAATTTGTTCTGACTAGTTACGAAAATGTTTGTCTTTGTAGGAACTTGTGACAATTCGATACCAAACAAATCTCTGTGCAGACCATGCAAATACAGAAAGGCGTGTACAGTATATTTTACATCAGCTGGGAAACCAGTTCCAAAATTCCGAATAAAAATATCTAAACATGGAGTTAAACTAAAACACTCTAGTTCTTTAAAGTCTCCACTAAGAAGTACTGAGGGAAAAAAATTAATTGATGACATTGTGACCCTCAAGAAAGAAGAAAAGAAACAACCTACATATTTAGAAATGATGCATACCTCTGTTGGAGAGCTAATGGATCTAGGTAGGTTTGCAGTGCCTACAGAATGTAATTATTAATGCATGGCTGATGGAGAGACACAAAATCTCCTTACTTATCTAATACTGATTGGTTTTATAAGGTCAACAAAAACATTTTACTGTATTTTTTTGTCTATTTTTTTTAATCTTACAAATACAATTCAAGACTAATGATTTTGAAAATGAAATAGGTAGGAAAATACTTCTATTTAAATTTTATAGGCAGCGATTATTTTAGATAGATATCCTGATCAATTATAGGAAATAATCAATAAAAATTCTGTCTCCCCATTTGTAATTGCCTGGAGAATTATATTGTTTGATAAACCGCAATGATTACTTATTTCACAAGACCAAAACAAATCTTTTTTGTGGAATTCATAGTAGTTCAAATATTTTTCTATCTTGTAGATGAACCCCCTTCTCCATCATCTCCTGTACAACCAACAGATACAGGAGATCAAAGTGATGTCACCACATCACCAGAAAGTCATACCTCACCACAATCTAATGCCAGAGGTCCTCGCATCAAACATGTATGTAGGAAGGCAGCTGTTGTGCTTGGTAAAACTGTAGCTAAATTTCCACAGACCGAACTGACACTTAGTGCCTTGCCCAAGGGAGAGAAGAAGAAATTACTAAAGCAAGATGAACTGGACAAAGCAGGTGGGATTAAAAAGGTGTTTTATTACATATTTTACCTTTTTCAGTTAATATAAAGTTTTAAACAAATTTGTTTGATAAATCAAGAATTTAGAAATAATGTTAATTACAGTAGCGGGAAAAGGCAATGCAGGATTTTTAAATGTGACTGCTTTAAATACTTTTTTCAGTAAATATAAAGTTTGAAACAAATTTGTTTGATAAATCAAGAATTTAGAAATAATGTTTATTAGGGCCAAAAGGCAATGCAGGCTTTTTAAATGTGACTGCTTTAAATACTTCATATTTATTTTTAAGTCTAGCATTAATGATAATTCTTTAACAATTTTATTTTTAATGCATATTTTAATGATATAATAAATATACTTTTTAACATGTATTAATATGCTAAAGTAACATGAGTAAATACCTAATATATAATAATTTTGAGATTTACAGGAACCGTCTGTGCAGAGTTTGTATTTGTTTTGTTAACTTGTCATTTATATCTGACTTGGAATATTTTATAGAAAACTATGCAGTGGCAGATCCAGGGGGGGGGGGGGGGTGTTGGAACCTCCCTTTTTTATGACGATCAATGCAATTGAATGGGGACATATAGTTGGATCCCTCCCCTTTATCCTGGGTTAGGAACCCCCCCTTTTATAAATGGCTGGATTCGCCCCTGCTATGTAATATTTAAGTAAGACTCAGTAAGACAGAATAGAAAAATAGAAAACTCCATTATGTGCAGATCATAATGTCTGACCATACCAGAATCAATTTCAAAAAGTTTAACTATAATAGTAAATGCCAAAATTTCTCAAACTCCATTAAAGTTTTGAAACTTGAAGTTTATGAGATTGATTGATTGTTGGATGCTTAACATCCAGTGGCAAAATTTGATGAGAAGTAATTTTAGTGTTGTGAAAGTTCTATAGAACATAGATGTTTGAAATACTAATTTAAACATGTATCTTGTTTATTTTACTACAGCGTATTCAGATGATGAGAAAACTATAGAAGAGATTATCCAGGATGCTGAGGAGGGACAGGATACTTTTATTAGGTCACCACCTGTCAAAGTTATACCAAAACTGAAAATGCACAAAACAACACCACAAGCACACCAACCAAGTGACACGATGTTTAAAAAAAGCAAACGTAAACTAAGATGCAGAAATTGTGTCAACTGTCTAAAAGCAGATTGTGGAAAGTGTCGATATTGCTTGTAAGCATCTTTTCTTTGTAGTCCTGACTAGATAATATATTTGAATGGTAGGTATGGTTAGTTCTGGATAGAATTCTTGAACTTTATACATCAATGTATAACATTAACAAGGGCACACAAAAAAAAATTCCAATATTAATGACCGAACAAGAATTGAAATTAAGTAAACTTCTCAGGAAAATACAATGTAACACGGATTATTAATCAGTAAAAATATTTTTGTAATGTTGTTGGCAACAAAATAAGTCATTTAATTTTCAGAAATTAAGGGTCAGGTAAGTTGATTTGTGTTGTCGATTGTTTTTTGTTAAAGTTTGAAGAAAATATGCAAGGCTTTGTCAAAATTGGAATCTGAAGGATCTATGATATCTCACTAGGTTTCAGATTTCTAATTTTTCATCGAAGCAGTTATATTGAAAGAAGATATAATCATAAGTCAAGGGATTTGACCTTCACTGATATAAATGTTAAAAACTAAATATAAGCATCTTTTAAATTTTTATAGCATTAATTTTCATTACATTATAGCCTTGAAAATTTCCATAGGTTTGAAAAACAATTGAATTCTTTTAAACATATTGGAATATAATAGCAGATATAGTTATAAAACATTGGAGAGCACAAAAACAAAAGGACAGAAACAGAACAGCTTAAATCATCCATAGTCGCCTTTTACTGAGGGACTTGTAACCTTACTAGTTCTTAGCTTTAACACAATCATAATTTTATGAGCTGGAAATTTACAGACAAAATGTATCATGGAAGTTTTATTGCAAGCATGTATAGTGAAGTCACCAAATATGAAATCTTATTGAAAGCAAGCTGATGGAAGTCACCATAATATGAAGTTTTATTACAAGCAAGTAGAGCAAAGTCCATATGATATTAAGTTTTATTACAAGCAAGCAGAGCAAAGTCCATATATTAAGTTTTATTGAAAGCAAGCAGAGCAAAGCCCCCATAATATGAAGTTTTAATGGAAGCAAGCAGATTGAAGTCACCATATGAAGTTATTTTGCAAGCAAGTAGAGGAAAGTCCCCATAATATGAAGTTTTATTGAAAGCAAGCTGAGCAAAGTCACCATAATATGAAGTTTTATTGCAAGCAAGCAGAGGAAAGTCATCATAATATGAAGTCTTATTGAAAGCAAGCTGAGCGAAGTCACCATAATATGCAGTTTTATTGCCAGCAAATAGAGCGAAGTCTCCAAAGTATGAAATTTTATTGCAAGCAAATAGAGCAAAGTCCATATAATATTAAGTTTTATTGCAAGCAAGCAGAGGGAAGTCACGATGATATGAAGTTTTATTGCAAGCAAGCAGAGGGAAGTCACGATGATATGAAGTTTTATTGCAAGCAAGCAGAGCTAATTCCGTTTTATTACAAGCAAGCAGTGTGTAGTCCCCATAATTAGAAGTTTTATTGCAAGCAAGCATAGAGAGGTGTCCATAATTTAAAAACTGTGATTCATATCATTTCAAAACAAAATAGAAAAAGGGGTTGAATAATAAAACAGATGTTGACTTGTTATTTGGTTGATATAAGGTTTATTAACCCTAAAAAATTAGAATTGTTTCATGTTTTCCCTTCCATCCAATTTGGGACCGGTAAGTTGGTATGTGGATAATAATTGATACACATAATGAGATGTCATTCAGAAAAAAGATACTTGATTTTGATAATAGCATAAAGCCCTGCCAGTGAGCATTGCCAGATATAAGAACCAGAGTCAAAGCATCTACTTTACAAAGTTAGACTCAAACAATTCAGGTAAAAATAAAAAAGTGAGAAAATACTGAGGCATCAAAAACCGTAAGTTAAACACTCATGACCAAATAAAAAAAGTGATAAAAATAAACAGAAGTCCACAAAACACTTCACAGAAAACAAGGGATGGTGTTAACTACGATGCTCCATGATAAGATAAATCAAATATTGAAAGCTGTATTATGTAAGGTTTTCAAACATGCTACTGGTTCAGCTATGGCAGATTTAGTACATAGGCATAGACATTAACAGCTTTGATATTAGACTTTATTTGATAGTTATGACAAGATGAAATAGTCACTTTTGACATACAGTTATATGATGAACGTAATAAAACTGTTCTGATAAGTACTTTAACAGAAGTTCTAATTGTTATTATTTTAAGAACTCCAAAACACAAGATAGTGTTTGATCAAATGCAATAGAGTTATTTTTAGGATTAATCAAAGATGATGTCTCATTTACAGTGAAATATCAAGTCTAATGGAAACCTATCAATGACAAAACGTGGATCAGTTAGTAAGAGAATGCCTTTGATAATTCTCAATATTTCTGTATTTATCAAAACTCTGTACTAACTACACACTCAAATATTTTAGCTGTTTAGCTTCACATTTAAGGTGGGACATAACATCTCCAGGGGGGAAACCTTTTTGTGGTAAGGATAAGCAGCTGAGACAGTGAGTACCCCTCCCTTTTCATATATTTTGAATAACAAAAATGCATACCCTATCATATATTTTTTGACATAAAATTATATGCTTATAATATGCTTATGCTATTTCCTGGAGATATAAATAGTTTTGACAAATATCTGATGAATTTACGATTGCAGTTTTTATCTTATCCGAGAGGAAATATTGACTTCTGATTAGTTACAGATACTTATGATTCAAACAGCAACCCTTGTTATATCTTTCATCTTAATTTCTCCACCTTATATATGACTAAGCTTGAAAAAGTTACCTATTCCAGCAGCTCATCCCTAGCACTCATTACATAATCAGTGGACCCTTGAGCATAATATGGTATACTATTAGACCTTTTCAACAACTCTTGACACCAACTAATGACACCTACAGTTTACAGGTAAAATGGAGGTGTCGTCTCAAAAATAGAAATCATTCATGAATAGTATTAATTTACTGTTATACACTATTTTGATTAAAGAACATATTTCAAACAAATATGGATATCTCTCTCTCTTTCATATGTTATTAAAATTCCTATTACATGTATTTATATGATATTTCACCACGTTAAATTTATAAATTTCACGTCGCAGTTGTCACGTCGTGATCTGCTTTATTTCTTCTTGAAATGTATGATTATGAGTATTTAGATAAGCGAGTAAGATGGGGGTCTTTTACCAAAATGCAGATCATCAGAATCAGCATTCGGTTGCTGGGCACCAGGTCAAGTGACGGCACCGTAAGCCAAAAATTAAAAGATAAAGAGTCGAAAATTTAATTATTTAATTGCATTGTCGCTGAATATCGAATTCAAGTTGAACATCAAATTGGTGAATTGAAAAGAAATAAAGTAGTGAGTACATTGGGGCACCCGAAGCCAAAATTAAAATACATTGTAGAAATATGTGCCGCCCTAGTCAACAGACATAAAACATTGTTTAATTAAACATCTAATACAAAAATACAGTTGGTTTTTTTTTACAAGTTCCATCTCGACTTCAAAAAAATGAAATTTCGAAGCCTTTCTTTCATCAAAAATAACTCTAATTTTAATTAGCAAATACATGTATTTAGTAAACAACACAAGGTACGGTACACAATAATTTCGCAAATACGCACTTGCACGTCATGTTGGATAGTTGTCTCATTAGCAATCAATATAATCATATGCGATCAATAATATTTTTTTCAATTTAATTTTTGAGACGACCCCTGATATCTCACCTGTTGTAGTCGTTCTCAACTGTAGGTGTAGACAATTGTTGAAAAGGTCTATTCCCAGATCTAAGTAAAGGAGATGCAGTTTGTTTACCAGAGGACCAGATATTGCATTTCTAACATCATTACGTAATCATACGACTAAGTAAAAACTCATACTGTAACGTAAGCTTCAAAAGCTACCATGAAACAAAATGTTGAGACAATAAAAAAGGAAACATGGCTTTTTTAATTTTCATGCGTCCCAAGCGCTTTTCTGGATTTACCTGCATCAGGAATACTCAAAGCTGAAGATTTGAAAGCCAAGGATGTAAACGAACCAAAATAGTTGAGGAGCTATATAACAGTAAAGGACATAGAAATGATAGCCAAATCATTCCAAGGACAACTAACAGAATAAAATAATTATTATCTTAACTACAAAAGTAATGCTGGAAATAAAATATCCACTGGATTGGAGGTTCTATTTAAAAAAAAATTGGGGGGGGGGGGGGGGGCTAGGAGGGATGGTCAAGCACATCATGCATGTGAAGATGTTGAACATGTTTATAAATGTTCTTTTAATCAGAATTATTTTTGTTTCAAATATCTTCTACATTCTTGAAGGTTTTGTATAAATCATTTAACTTGGTTAATAGCAATGGTTTCTGATGTATGTAAAATAATATATATTCTACTATCTACTATATTTTAATACTCTTGTGATTACTTTGATAAACATCACCTGATTTTCACAGGTCAGCATTTTACTGAGTGATATTTTAAATAATTGTTATAGTGATCTAGAACTGTATTGAAATTCGTTTCGCTTAAATTTTTGTTTGAAGTGTAAATAGATCGTTTCTTGGTCACGTAAGCGTTTGAACGATAGCTCGAATTTCAAGCGCAAATTCGACATTGAACTAATGGCATGTTTGCCACCAAAATTTTCCAGTATAGATATATGCTTTAAGTTACAAAAATATGAAAACTAGGTCGTCGTAAGTACCTTATTTCAAGGGATTTTGATATTTTTTAAGCTCGTATTGCATTTGCACTGTTGTCATGTTGCAAATTTGGTTCAATTAACTTCTAATTACGGATCGATATCTGACCAAATTTTGCTGGCTTGGCAAGATTCATTGATGTGTGACATTACCGTTAACTAAAATCAAAATATTTTTCGATGAAATTAAATATACCAACTTTTGACATCAAAACATAAATGGTATGATGTCCAAAACAGTGTTTTAAATGTTAGTTCCTGGTATCAGGAAATCACTTATTTTTCTTTTTAGAAACACCTACAAAGCTACATGTATATGTATGTCATGAATAGCTTTTAATTGGTTGATTATACTTCAATACAGTGTAATCAACTATTTGATGTAAACTGAGATAAACCACTTAACTTTAAACAGGTTGAACATTCTGCAATTCTAGATTTAAACACTTGTATACATTTACTAAAGCCAGGTTGGCCTACACCAAAAGCCCCGTCTGAAGCCCCACACTAGTAAAAAAAAGTTTCAGAATATTAAGTATAGCAAAACTTTGTTTAGACACATTAGAAAAATGTCGGAATATTGGTTTTCCAACTAGTAGTTGGAAAGGATTTTGGTGCAGACTGCTCAATAAAAGGCTACATTAGCTCAATTCAGACAATTGCGCTGTAATGAATTGTCTTCCTTTGACATTTTTGAAAAAATTATTCCATGATTATATTCAGCAACACTTCCTTATTATGTCTTCAAAGTTTCAAATTGCTCTTCTAAATAACAAGTCAAAAACAGGAATTTCATTGAAATTGCCAAGGGAGATAATTTTTGATTACATGGGTTAGCTAGCTTAGTCCAAAGAAAATTATGTCCGTTTCCTGCCTCTACCAATTTTTGGTATATATGGATTTTTTTTTAAGCACATTTATTAAATTCTTACTTACATATAAAACATGCACATACAAAAGCACACAGAAATATTAAGTACACAAGCATATGCAATAAAAACGTGTAGAGAATTCCATAGAACTGGAGCAGCGCATCTGAATGACTGTTATCCATACAGTGAAGTCTGAAATAGAAACCTAATAAATTAGTATACATAAAATTATATCTTAAACTTTTATTTTGAGTTTCAATCAACAGATGGTGCTGAGCTATTCATCATTTCAAAAATTTTCACAGCCATTGACCTTGTTCCCCTCGCATGTATTCTTCAAGTTATTTTAGCTTTTCATAACAAATTCTCGCATGAAGTTTCAATTTATACAAATCTTTAAACTCTTTCCTGTATTTTTTCTATTTTCTTTGTATTTGATTATGAAAAAAAGAGAAAATAATGGGCTATAATTTAAATTAGATGCTATATCAGTATGAAAAATAGAAAGTCTTTTCAGTTTACTCAGCTTGAATACCAATACGTTTTTAAATGTTAACTGTTGTTCAACTTTTTAACATATATTCTTGATATTTTTATTTAAACAACATGTAATTAATAACTACACACTGTTGTTCAACTTTTTAACATATATTCTTGATATTTTTATTTAAACAACATGTAATTAATAACTACACCTTAAAGTTTAAATACTTAACAGTTCCAATACAAGAGTTGTTTGCACTACCAGTACTAAAAACAAGTGTTTTCTCTGGAGACTTTTCCATTAGTAATTACCTTGAAATTTTCATGCTGCATTTTTCTATAGAAACTTTAAAAGTGATATGACCCTATTTTACCACCTGTAAATTCAGAATTTTCGCTTTGTTCTTTTTTATAATTTCTTAATATCTACCTCCACATTCAACACTTGCAGCCACTGTGTTCATTATCTGAATGATACAAGTATCAACTCAGATTATGCTACATCTGTACAAACTTCTATCATCATGTGTCAAAGTGGACTGAAAGAAATCAAGGAACACAAAAAAGATTGAATTTATACATGTAGGTTGGTGCAGGAGAGTGATGTATGTTTTTGAGTTTCACTATTTGCAACACAAGGTGTCAGAATCAATTACATGTCATCACTGAGCATGCTGAGTACTAGCTAATAATTTTTTGTGAAGGAAACAACATACCTTAATTGGTCTATCATGTTATATGTCACATAGTTGGTTATGCAATGATTGAGGTAAAATCCTTCAAATAATGGTTCTTTCTGACCTTTATTATCACCAGTTAAAGACATATTGGTTTACCACAGGATAGTGTGTGATATGATATTTCTCCAATCAAGACAGTTAAATACTCAAATGTTAAATGCAAGGCTTGCCAAGTGTTCTAGATATTTTTAATTTGACTGTCAGAAGTGGTTAAATATCGTAAGGCACAAGATAAGTTGGTTGAATCTGTTTCTTTAAAGAAATTCAAATGGCAATCTTTATCTTTCTTTTTAAAAATGATCTGCAAAAAGATTTTTTTTTTCATTGTGACTTCATAATGGCAAATTCAGAGAAAAGTAAGAAAATCCAACATCATAATTGAATTTTGACCACTGGTATAACAATTTGTTCAAACATAAACTGAAGGCCATTTTTATCACATTTTAACCTGTTTAATGAAGTTACAAATTTATTTGCCAAAATTCAAAATCTTTTAATGTACATTGTCGGCTCATGTAATAATGGCTTGAAGTGGAAGAAAATACTTGGATTGTATAAAAAGCTTTTCAATTGAAATAAAATATGATCAGTCTATAAGTCTATGCTTTCATTTAATCATTATTGTCTATGTCTTTGAATTTCTTAATTCTTAATGAACCTATAAATGAAAAATTGCTGTTTACATCAATTTGATAGAAATGGAAAATTAGAAATGACAAGAGCCACCCGGGATAATAGATATCGCCTTAAGCTAACAGAAAACAAGACTTCTTGCCCTAATGACCCAGTAGCATGAACTTGTATCTAGATTGTATTGGTAGATGCTTTTGGTAAATAAGTGTCGAATCAGGTCTTAATCTAGTATTTATGCACTAATGACTGTTCATAGTTTTCATTTCTAAATGATTTATTGCTCTGTTACAAACTTATTTTATAATTTTCAGAGACAAACCTAAGTTTGGTGGGAGAGGTGTTATGAAACAAGCATGTATGTAAGTATTTTTTTAAATCACAGATTTTCAAGCCTAGAAACTAGATTGAGTTGTAACACTTTTATTTGAAATCCTAACATATACATTGTCTTCGATTTTTCACAATACTTTATTTTTCTGAGGTTCCATTGAGCAATTTTATCACTTTGCATCTGTAGTTTTATTTGTTAAAAAAAAAAACCATTAGAAATACTTCCCGAGTTAATTGGACATTGACAATAGACTAGTAGAAATCAACCTGTAGGCTCACATCAATGAAAGTGTAGTTCAAAGTATTTAGTCAAGCAAAGGCTCAATATTCACTATACCAAATAACCAGAACAAAAATAATTATTTGAACATTGTCCGCTTTTTCTATTGTAACAGGAAGAAAAATTGTTTAAGTCCTCACTTCTATAAAGCTGGTACAACACTGGTGGCGTTAAAAGATGACACACAAGGTGATAATAATCCTGGACACAGTTCTGAAATGAACAACAACAATGGTAATACTGGTAAATCCTGTCTTAATGTGCTAGGAAGATTTGGACAGAAAACTAGAACAACTTCATCAACCAATCAGCAAGCAGATGCTAATAATGATGGTCAGTCGTCCGACAAAACACCAGCTGCCATTAGTCGTCAGTTACAGTTTGGTGGAAATTCACAAGGCAGTCATCATCAGTTATCAAACATTTCACGAGCGTCCAGATCACAGAGTACTGGTCGATTTTCTACGAAGGTAGGGTATTTGTAACATACAAACTGCTTGTATTCAGAAATTTGTTCACAATTTGTTTTCTATTTTGTCAAGTCCAAGCACAAATATAAAGGAACTAATATATATCTTAACAACTGAAGTTGAACACTGTAAATTCAGAAATTATTACGATTTTTGAAGAATCATCCAAAATGTGAAATTGATCATCTGCATAAATATGTATGTGTATTGATTGTCGATACTCACCCATTCACATTATTCACATTAATAAAAACCTCACAATAATTTCTGAATTTACAGTATGATATTGAATTAATGAATACAATCAATAAGGAAACAATATTTGGTTTAAGAAATAAAATAATTGACGAGGTAGAAATATATAGTATATGAGACAAATATAAAGATTTCACTGTTTTGGATAAAAATGTGATGATATTGAAATGATAAAATGTTATATGTTTCAAAATAACACTTGGTTGGATTCCAGGCAGTACGACTGTTGCAAATTAAATGGTTGTGTTAAAGCACTTGATTAACTAGATTTTAACCTTCTTGCAATATATGAAAGTGTGCAGTAATAGCATAAACAACAATTGAGAGATTACCCAATCACCCTCAAAAAGATGAGAGGACACACGATTTAAGGCATGCTTTAAAAAAAGTTCAAAAATAAAGTTACATCTTGCATTGCAAATAACAGGTAGGATAAAGATGTTCAATACTTAACTTAGGGCTATTTCATTAAAATGTATGTGGGAGGGTAGGAAGGGAAGTATAATTATTTAATGTGGGTCATGGGTCTTGGGTCTTTTTTCAGTACATGTATGTGTCTATTACCATTATGAAAAATTATCTAAAAAATGGTTCTTGGTTGTAGGGATATTTTGAAAGACCCTTCCTACCCTCCCACATACATTTTAATGAAAAAGCCCTAACATACATTAATAAAGAACATTTGCAATGAAGGAAAATAATGCTTGAATATGATGACAGCTTATACATGTATATAGAAAAAGGATGTACATAATGGACTGTAAAAGGATAATATTGGTTTTAAAACCTACACAATGTTGTAACATGTGAAAGTTGTGTATTTTCAGTTACCACCTATGCCAGCAGGAAGAAATGAATTATCATTAACACAGCGTAATAGAAATACTTCTATCCGGTGGTCAAGTCTTCGACCAGAAAACCAGGCACAGCATCGTGTCAAAGCTGATTTCAAGGTACTTTGATTTATTACAAAAGGTTCCATACCACTGCAAGCAGACTGTTAGTACTCAAGGGTCTCTGTCCATTATTTAGTGTTTTTGCATTTGCCATAAATTATATATTTTTTTGCTTAGATTAGCCAGCTATGTGTTATAGCTGAATACGGTGAAAAATGTCGAATTTGATTTTTCAAATAACTTGATTATGTATCAAATTTATACAGAAAATGTTTCCATGGTGTTGTGCTGTTTACAAAGTTTACTTATTAATTTTGATCTTCATTGTTGATTCACTTACTTCATACAAACTTCATACAAATGATTGATAAGATATTACATGTTAACAATTTATTTCTTTGGTTTGATAAAAATTTGTGTAAATCAGAGTAAAATTTGGTGTTTACAGAGATTTATGTGTATTATCAGGTCAAGTACATTGTAAACAAACTAAAATAAAAAATATTTTCGTTATATTCGGGAATAATGTTGCTATTAAGTGTCTCTTTAACCCGACACATAAATTGCTGGAAAAAAAATCTTTCTGATACTCAATGTGATATTATACAATTATAGCCTTTGTATGAGGTCGATACAAGGATATATTGACCTGAAAGAAGTATATTGACTGAGGACGAAGTCCGAGGTCGATATACTTCTTTGGGTCGATATATCCTGTATTGACCTCATACATAGGCTATAATTGTTATATTATTAATTTCCGACCATATTTGTATCAAAATCGTCATTTGATTTTGTTAGAATTTTATAGATATCATATTGTCATCTAGACAATAACAACATATTATCAAATGATTTCATGTTTGTTTTTATACATCTTATGCATTTGAAGATTTTTTTCTTCAAAGATAATCGATCATAGATATTTTTCATAAAACTTCTAACAATATCATGAAATTCATTACATGACGTCACAAAGTATATCGGTTTTTAGATATTCTAAAAATAACCGTGCAATATGCCTTTTGCTATGCAATATGCTTTTTGCTATCTGCCGTTTTCTATCTACCTTCGAAAATATAGTTTAACATGTGACTATCCCTGAACGAATCAAATTAGTTAAAATATACGAATTAATAATATTATTTGCTTTCTAATACTGATAGTGATATTATTTGCAGGAAATCTACAATGTGTGGTCAGCTTGGCAGTTTGGTGTATCGTTAACAGTGGCCAATCCATTATGCTGTAGAACTCTTTGTTTTCTTTGTGGAAGTGCAGGAAAACATGAGGTACTTAAAAGGGAAAATACTGTGTTTCTTTATTTATAGTGGATTGATAAGAATTGAATTTTTATACGACCGCAAAAAATTGCGGTCGTATATTGGTATGTCGTTGTCGTCCGAAGACACATTGGTTTTCGCACTCTAACTTTAGTTTAAGTGAATGGATCTCTATGAAATTTTACCATAAGGTTCAATACCACAAAAGGAAGATTGGGCCAAAAAGGGGCCAAAAATAAGCATTTTTGTAACTTCCAGACATAACTTGTGTGTTAGTGTATGGATCTCACTGACATTGTACCACAAGGTTCCATATCACACAGGGAATGCTGGGATTGATTTGGGGGGTAATTGCCTCAAAATATTAGGAATTAGGGGCCAAAAAAGGGGCAAAAAATAAGCATTTTTCTAGTTTCATGACAATAACTTGTGTGTAAGTGTATGGATCTTTCTGAAATTGTACTACAAGGTTCCATATCACAAAGGGAAAGCTGGGTTTGAGTTTGGGGGTAATTGCCCAAAACGTTTAGGAATAAGGGGCCAAAAATAAGCATTTTTCTAGTTTCCAGACAATAACTTGTGTTCAAGTGTATGGATCTCTCTGAAATTGTACTGCAAGGTACCATACCACAAAGGGAAGGCTGGGATTGAGTTTGGGGGTGATGAATCATAAGAGGGTTCAAAAAATTTGGGGGGGGGATTTTTTTTTTTCCTTTTTTTTCTTTTTTTTTCTTTTTTTCCTTTTTTTTTTCTTTTAAAATTTTCCATTTTAAGTTGGTTATTTCTGTTTTATATTTAAAAGCAAATAATAATGATATGATAGGAGATACACACCAAACAGGATGTGTAAATTATTATATTATAAGTATTGTGCAATAGCAAGAAATTTTCAATTGCACAGTATTGCACAATAGCAAGAAATCTTCAATTGCACAGTATTGCGCAATAGCAAGAAATCTTCAATTGCACAGTATTGTGCAATAGCAAGAAATATCCAATAGCACAATATTGCGCAATAGCAAGAAATTGTCAATTGTACAGTATTGCGCAATAGCAAGAAATATTCAATTGCACAGTATTGTGCAAAAGAAGATACTTCGTATAAATTGCTTATTTCTTGACCAATTTCAATGGGGTTTTATTCTTGAATTCTTGGGGTTCTTTAATATGCTGATTCTAACTGTGTATTAAGTTTTTGGATTTTGGGCCCCGTTTTTAAATTGGTCCACATTGAGGTCCAAAGTGTCCAAAATTAAACTTTGTTTGATTTCATCAAAAATTGAATTATTGGGGTTCTTTGATATGCCGAATCTAACCGTGTATTTAGATTCTTAATTTTTGGTTCCGTTTTCAAATTGGTCTACATTAAGGTCCAAAGGGTCCAAAATTAAACTTAGTTTGATTTTAACAAAAATTGAATTCTTAGGGTTCTTTGATATGCTGAATCTAAACATGTAGTTAGATTTTTGATTATGGGCCCAGTTTTCAAGTTGGTCCAAATCAGGGTCCAAAATTAAACTTTGTTTGATTTCAACAAAAATTGAATATATAGGGTTCTTTGATATGCTGAATCTAACCATGTATTTAGTTTTTTTATTTTTGGGCCCCATTATCAACTTTGTTCACATTGAGGTCAAAAGGGTCCAAAATTAAACTTTGTTTGATTTCATCAAAAATTGAATTCTTGGGGTTCTTTGATATGCTGAATCTAACCATGTATTTAGATTTTGGATATTGGACCATAATAGGTGAATGTCCAATTTAAAATTTTTAATTTCTTAGACCACATTCATTCTGTGTCAGAAACCTATGCTGTGTCAAATATTTAATCACAATCCAAATTCAGAGCTGTATCAAGCTTGAATGATGTGTCCATACTTGCCCCAACTGTTCAGGGTTCGACCTCTGCAGTCGTATCAAGCTGCGCCCTGCGGAGCATTTTATTATAGTTTAGACAAATTCTGCATGCAAGCCTATGATAGATTTGTTTTTTGTTGAACACTTAAATTCCTAATGCACCTATACCCACGAAATCCTGGAAAATTAGTACCCAACGAATAATAATGAATCCACAGTAATTCTATAACTATACATATTACATATATGCATTTAAAAATTAATTTTGTTGTCATCATTTTTACATTTTTTATGATTTAAGAGGATCCTATGACTTTTTATACGACCGCAAAAATTTTGTGGTCGTATATTGGTATCACGTCTAATGGTTTAAGTGTATGGATTTGTATGAAATTTTACCATAAGGCTTATGACCACAAAAGGAAGGTTGGGATTGATTTTGGGGGTTATGGTCCTAACCGTTCAGGAATTAGGGGCCAAAATGGGGCCCAAGTAAGCGTTTTTCTAGTTTCCAGACAATAACTTGTGAAATGGTGTATGGATCTCTCTGAAATTATACCACAAGTTACCATATCACAAAGGGATGGTAAGAATTTGCTTTGGGGGGTTATGGCTCAAACTGTTTAGGAATTAGGGGCATAAAAGGGGGAAAAACATTACTTAAGTACAAAACATAATTTTAAAGCAGTGTAAGGGAGGTTATTCATACACATATTGTCAAATTACCTATCTAACACGGCTTGTAAATTATTTATAAAGAAATGTATTGTCTTTAGGTGATTAGCTGTCAATTTATTTTTAGAAGATACTATTTTAAAAATGTTTAATAAAGGTAATTTAATTATAGCCATGATTATGTATGTGAAGGAATTTTATTTTTAGATATTACTATTTAATGTTGCTGATGGAGGCTTTTTAATTTAAAAAAAGCATTTTTGTAGTTTCCAGACAGTAACTTGTGATTAAGTGTATGGATCTCTCTAAAATTGTACTACAAGGTTCCATACTACAAAGGAAAGACTGCAATTGAGTTTGATGGTTAAAGCTAAAAGGGGGATTCAAAAAGTTTGGGGGGAAGGGGGGGTTTCCAATTTTTTTTTTAAAAGGGTTCATATTTTTTTTCTCAAAATTTTCAAAATTTCAAATTTTTGAAAAGTTTCTAGAAGAAATCTTCAATTGCACAGTATTGCGCATTAGATTTGTAAGATCTTTGACCACATTTATTTTGTGTCAGAAACCTATATTATGTCAAAAATTTGATCACAATCCAAATTCAGATAGTATCAAGCTTGAATATTGTGTCCAAATTTGCCCCAACTGTTCAGGGTTCGACCACTGCGTCGTATCAGGCTGCGCTCAGCGAAGCATTTTATTTTATATTATGTAATATACTCAAATTTGGAACAGGACTTGTCATCTTTTTTACATTTTCTTTATTATTAAAGAGGATTCTCAGACTTGTTTGATGAATATTTAATAGCACAATATTGGAAATAAAGAGGACATCTTTCATAATTATTTTCTTCAGTAAAATAGAGAAAAATCGTATTTAAGATATAATTTTATTTCTTGTTGGTTTGCTTCAGTACTGTATTTATAACTGTTTTTCTTTCAGTTTTTTTACTGCAATGTTTGTTGTGAACCTTTCCATGAGTTTTGTTTAGATGAGAATGAAAAACCATCATCAGATAATTTAGAGAACTGGGTTTGTCGGAAATGTCAGTTTTGCACTGTCTGTGGGCAGCAGAAAAATGTAAGTTGAACGTTACTACCGTAGAAAGGCTTGTATAGTCCGCGGTTTTATTATCCAAAATTGGACCTTCCACAAGGGGTGCGGACTATAGAGTACAATAAGCAAGAAATAAGAGAAAAATTTCAATTTCGCGGTCGAGGTGGTTTGTTTACGTTCCGCCATCTTTGTTATTTCTATTGTAGAGGGCGCTCTTATCATTTTTCAAACTAATAATTTTAACTCATCCATATTAATAAGTTATTTCTATTCAATATCAAATTAATACTGATAAATATAAAAACTAAACCTTTCATTACAAATTTCTCGTTTCTTTTCAATGCATTGGTTGAAATAAACTGGTATCTGCTCGATTGAAACGATACAAACATAGTGAAAAAGACAACCGTAAACCAGCTTAGAATTTGTAAACTACAAAACGAAATCGGTTATTGTTCGTTCCGTTTTGGTGTTTCATACTGACTAATATGGTTTGTATTAGCTTAAGACCCTTCAAACATTAATGTGATAGATATATTAAAGACTGTTTTACAAAAGGATGGAACTGTTTTACTTTCAAAGTCGTATTATAGTGATATCTGTTATGTACGGATTTCGACTCTCACCGGTTAATTTCTTCTTTTACACGTGCTTTTTAAACTTCCTGTTTAAACATACACAAGTTTCTAAATTGTTTTTTAAGTGAATTAAACTTATTTCAACAATCATGAAGCGTTCTAGAATCATTAACAAGCAGTTTCAGCTTCTGTTTGATGATGGAAAACAGGTTTTTCCAAGAAAATACCGCAAACGACCGCACAGGATTTGAAATTACCGGAGTTTCATTAGACCTTTTCTAACAGTTACAAAAAGTTTTTTTACCTAAAATTTCGTGGTGAGAAGGGGGTGCGGACTATGTACCACTGCGAACTATACAAGCCTTTCTACGGTATTGTGTTATTTGGTAAATATACTCTACAAATTTCAGAACTTAATTGAGAAATTATGTTTACGTTATTGATCTTCATCGATCTGTCTGCCAAAAAATATTTCATTTTGTGTAAATTTTTTGTTACAGTGTTTGCTAAGCTATTAATCAGGAAGATAGAGAAAATTAAGTATAGAAAAAGTTATGGTTAGTTGAAAATGTTTAAAAAGATGTGTTGTTTATATCAATTAAACAGCAAATCAAAAACATGATCAGAAAAAAAAAAATTTGTCTTGAATTTCATATTTTTTGTAATTTTCAAATGTAGAAATGTGAATGAAGCCATGTTTACACTTAAATGTCTTAGAGATATGTAGTTTTATTTTGAAGAAATTTAATATTGCATTAAATAGTGTTAGAAAAGTATGTGCTGTCCTCCCAAGTTAATGAAATCTCTTGCAAAAATTTTCATTTTTGGAACAAATAAATAATTCCAACACTTTAGTTCTTCATGTTTATTCTCATACTTTACAGCTATTGAAATGTGACAAGTGTCAGAATACCTACCATCCAGAATGTCTAGGTCCAAATTATCCTACAAAACCTTCAAAGAAGAAAAATATATGGGTAAGAATATTATACAAGTCAAAAAGTCCGGAAATATCTCGGTGTTGTATTATCTTGTGATAAAATCCAACATGTTTCTAAAAATATTTTTGCTGAATAGAGTTCATTCAAATTTTCTAATGGCACAAAGTTGATGTTAACTGATGCTATTGTCAACTAAAAAAATCTTGTACCTAGACAAATTTTTAAAAAATTGCACATTTGAAGATGTATTCAGAATAAAAATCCTACTTCAGTTGGATTTCACACTCAGTTTTAGTAATGAATTGCTGTGGTATGGAATATAATTGTTAAACAATCTAAAAATATATCATTAAAAAAAACGGAAGTCGTAGAAACATCAAAAGCTTCATTACATTGAACATAAACAAGTCTGTGTTTACATTATTGTACAACATAAACAAGTCTGTGTTTACATTATTGTACAACATAAACAAGTCTGTGTTTACATTATTGTACAATATGAATTATATTTTCCATTTGATGATTGTTTTAGATTTGTACAAAATGTGTAAAGTGTAAAAGTTGTGGTGCTACAACTCCTGGGTCTGCTAGCAATGCTACCTGGACATATGATTTCCAACTGTGTCATGTATGTGGTCAGCTGATGGACAAAGGTGAGAATAGCATAAAAATAGACAGGAATTTAGAAACCAAGACAAATAGTTAAGAACTAGAAATAGGCTTTTTTAGTAGATCCGTTCCAGATATAAATGTCCGAGGGTGCAACTCCACCTTGCATAAGATTTTAGTTGAATTTTCTCATCATTGTTGACAAGCCTTTCCAAAACAACCAGAATCATTAAATTGTAATTCTGTTGTGTGGACTAATTCTTCATTTATTGATTATCATTTAATGTGAGAGTTAAGATTAAGGTTTAATAATGTGGTATATATGGTAGTTTGATGCAAAGTACATGTTATATTCACAGGTAACCTCTTCAGTGAATATTAAGATAGGATGATTTAAACTATATCAAGATGGTGATGTGACTAATTTTGTGGTTGAATGATATATTTCAACTTTTTGTATGTTTTTATACGACCGCAAAAAAATTTTTGTGGTCGTATATTGGTATGACGTTGGCGTCGTCGTCTTCGACGTCCGAAGACACATTAGTTTTCGCACTCTAACTTTAGTTTAAGTGAATGGATCTCAATGAAATTTTACCATAAGGTTCAATACCACAAAAGGAAGGTGGGGATTGATTTTGGGGGTTATGGTACCCACAGTTAAGGAATTAGGGGCCAAAAATAAGCATTTTTGTAACTTCCAGACATAACTTGTGTGCAAGTGTATGGATCTCTCTGACATTGTACCACAAGGTTCCATATCACAAAGGGAATGCTGGGATTGATTTTGGGGATAATTGCCTCCAAATTTAAGGAATAAGGGGCCAAAAAGGGGCAAAAAACAAGCATTTTTCTAGTTTCATGACAATAACTTGTGTGTAAGTGTATGGATCTCTCTGACATTGTATCACAAGGTTCCATATCACAAAGGGAATGCTGGGATTGATTTTGGGGGTAATTGCCTCCAAATTTTAGGAATTAGGGGCAAAAAACAAGCATTTTTCTAGTTTCATGACAATAACTTGTGTGTAAGTGTATGGATCTTTATGAAATTGTACTACAAGGTTCCATATCACAAAGGGAAAGCTGGAATTGAGTTTGGGGGTAATTGCCCAAAAAGTTTAGGAATTTGGGGCCAAAAATAAGCATTTTTCTAGTAACCAGACAATAACTTGTGTTCAAATGTATGGATCTCACTGAAATTGTTCTGCAAGGTACCATACCAAAAAGGGAAGGCTGGGATTGATTTTGGGGGTAATTCCCTCAAAATTTGAGTAATTAGGGGCCATTAAAGGGCAAAAAAAAACCAAGCATTTTTCTAGTTTCTGGACAATAACTTGTGTGTAAGTGTATGGATCTTTATGAAATTGTACTGCAAGGTTCCATATCACAAAGGGAAAGCTGGGTTTGAGTTTGGGGGTAATTGCCCTAAACGTTAAGGAATTGGGGGCCAATAACAAGCATTTTTCTAGTTTCCAGACAATAACTTGTGTTCAAGTGTATGGATCTCTCTGAAATTGTACTGCAAGGTACCATACCACAAAGGGAAAGCTGGGATTGAGTTTGGGAGTGATGAATCATAAGGGGGTTCAAAAAATTGGGGGGGGGGGGGATTTTTTCCTTTTTTTTCTTTAAAATTTTCCATTTTAAATTGATTATTTCTGATTTATATATAAAAGCAAATAATAATGATATGGTTTGAATAGGTAAATTAAAAATTTTTAAGTTCTTAGACCACTTTCATTCTGTGTGAGAAACCTATGCTGTGTCAAATATTTAATTACAATCCAAATTCAGTGCTGTATCAAGCTTGAATGTTGTGTCCATACTTGCCCCAACTGTTCAGGGTTTGACCTCTGCGGTCGTATCAAGCTGCACCCCAGCGGAGCATTTTATTTTATATGTATTTATATGTATATCTTTATTTCAGGAAATTTTTGTCCAATTTGTCATAAGTGTTATTCTGATGACGACTGGGATTGTAAAATGGTACAGTGTGCTAAATGTGATAGTTGGGTCCATGCAAAGTGTGAAGGGCTTTCAGGTAAGTGTCAAATGGAAAGACTTCAAAATTATTGATTCAATACATAAATCCATTCATTAATGAGGAAGTTCCAAATTCTATTAAAATTTAAATGCACAAGAATGTGTTTTTCTTTTATAAAAGTTCATTCATCCCTCTCTTTGGAAGGCTTTGGGATATTCTCTTTTAAACAGATGAGATGTAAGCACATAGGGAAAAGTCTGCTAATGAATATAGAGCTGGTTGAATTTTTCAGATGAGATGTATGAGCGAGTATCATGCTTACCAGAGGATGTGCATTATATTTGTCGGATGTGTGCAGGCCACAGGACACGACATTGGGAACTAGTTTTACGAGATGACTTTATAGCAGGGATTAAGTCTATATTCTACTCAATTTATCATGCCAAGTGTTCCAAAGTCCTTGAAATTGAAAATAAGGTGCAGTATATGAATCTAGTTTTATTTGTAATCAATTTATTGATGTGCACAAAAAAAGAGCTGAACAAAACCAAATCCATTATGTGATACCTTTTTTAAACACCCACAAAAAAGAGATCTATTCAGTTTTATTCTTCTGTCTGAATCACTGAAACTGTATATTGTTGAGAAAATTTATATGAAAAACTTTTACATTGTACAAAGTTTATATGGTTTAATTTATTTGTAAAGGATGCCATTAAAAAAAAGACAGTTTTACATTTCCATGAATGACTTTTTCAATTGCTTGTGCATGTATCCTTCATATGTATACTTTTTAAATATGTTTATTAACTTTTGCAGAAACCTGACACTGAAAAGAAAATAATAGTAGATGAAAGTAGTAATGACTCCTCGTCCAGTAAGGAGGTCAGTTCTGATACCAATTCTGTTGCCATGGAAACTGACAAAACTTTAAAATTGGATGCAAGTGTAAAAAGTAATAGTTGTTTAACTAACTGTGAAGGAAATATGAACAAAGATAATTCTGTGGCAGTTTCTGATAACAGTGATAGTAAAATAGAAATTGTTGCTATGGAAACTGATAATAAGGGAGATGAGTCTTTGTTAAACTGTGATTCTGAGGTTGTTAATGTCTGTGATAAAGTTTCTGAGAGTGATATTACTGCTATAACAAAACAGTTAGATGAACCAGATGGCAGTAAATCCTATGTTTTAAAGAATACTGCTGATGTAGAATTATTTATTAAGAATTTAGAAGGTTTAGTGAAGAACAGAGCATCTTCAGAACATCAATCAAATCAAACAAGTACAGTTCAGACTACTGAACAAAAATTAGTTCAATCAAGTGCAGAATCTATTATGGAACAAAAATCATTACAAACTGCAGTGCCTACTCCTGAACAAAATTCAATTCAAAGTACAGTAACTTCTACAGAACAGGAATCATGTCAATCTAGTTTAGTGACTATTTCTGAGAACAAACCATTAAAGAATACTGAATCAATAGCATTACCTAATACTAGTCCAAGTATATCTACTGAATCAATGGCATTACAAAGTGTTGGTCAGAGTATATTGACCGAATCAAAGGCTTTATCAATTGTTGGTCAATGTATATCTACACAAACACCTACAGACAATCATAGTGAAAAGTCAATACGACTGAGTGTTGATAGCAATTCAAGTTTAGCTAGTAGTAGTCAGAGCGATGTTGTACATAAAACACCAGACAAGAAAGGAGCTGTGGTACGTTTCGCAGAAACTTTACCAAAGGTTGTACCTACCAGGAATTATCCTAAAGATCTCATGACAGTCCGACAGAAAATTATAGACGGAGGATATTTAAATGTGGTAAGTTGAGTCAGATACTGTTCATGATGCTTCATGCTTAAGATATTGTCCTTGTTGGACCACAATAACATAACCTGTAGTCTGTCCATTCAACTATTACTCTTTTTAGTTTTGTAAAAATGTGGCTGTTTAGAAGAACAACACTTGAAAATGGGAACTATGATATTAAAAGCAATGTAATGTTCAATATGTTAACAGATTGAATATATTCCCTGTTTAAAACATTAACTAAAATACACAAGTGTATATTACCCCCATTTGAGGCTACATTGCAATAAACTTGTCCATCTGTTTGCCCAACAAATATTTTCATCACACTTTTCTCAGGAACTTCTGAACAGAATGACTTCATCTTTGGTCAGTGATAAGTTGTGAGAGCTGACTCATGTTTTCTGATGCTTAAAAATTAATTTTCAATTACAAGTGGGGGATGCTTAGCAAGACAACAACTGCAACTTCTTATTTGATACTGAGGGCTGCATACTACTTTTGAGCTTCTAATTGAAAATTACACAGATGACAAAATGAAAAAAAATCCTTTTTCAGTATGAATATGGAACACCAAAAAAATATTTATTTTAGAATATTAGGGTTTATTATTTAATAATTCAGTGACCTTGGTTAATTATTGTTTATTACAGGAAGAGTTCAGTGAGGACATAGCATTTATCATAGAGTCAGCATTAACAGATACAGAAGAAAATAGCGTTGTCAGGAAAAAAGCTATTAATTCTGTTAGATCCATATTTGTAAAAGTAAGTAAAAGAAGATTTTAAAAAGGTAGACACAAAACTTATTAGTTAATTTTGTTTGTATGTATACTTTTTGTTTTTATGCCCCAACTATGGGCATTATGTTTTTCGGTCTGTATGCTGTTCGTCCGTCTATTCCCCTTCAGGTTAAATTTTTGGTCATGGTAGTTTTTGATGAAGTTGAAGTCCAATCAACTTGAAACTTAGTACACATGTTCCCTATGATATGATCTTTCTAATTTTAATGCCAAATTAGAGTGTTTACCCCACATTCAATGTTCACTGAACATAGAAAATGATAGTGTGAGTGGGGCATCCATGTACTAGGGACACATTCTTGTTCTTAAAAATTTTTGTCCAGTATGCAGTTTTGTAGCCATTTTTAGTTGAGTAAATTTTTATACGCAGCAGAGAATTTGGGACAGGTTGATCATTGTTTATGTCAAAAGATAAGATTCTTTAAACATATTGTTGATATGATTTTAAAAAATTTTGTTGTGATGAACTTTATCAATGCTTAATGTGAATATAGTTGACTATTGTAAAGATTTTTCTAAATTAATTATATTCTTATTATAGCAAATGGAGAAGTGTTTTCCCTGGTACAATGTAAAAGCCTGCAGGATGTGGGAGCATAACAGATGTCTTCCTCAGTATGTATTTACAATGAATGTAAAATCAAACAGTTTCTATATATGTATGGAATGTATATTGGAACTAGAAACGAAATTCATTTCTTATTGTGAATGATATATTACGAACGGTTTTGAGCATTTGATTTAAATTCATAGTAGTTTAAAAAATTTTGATTTTAGAAATCATTTCATTTGTTCAGATTGTAGTCTCAGAGACTGCAAAAAATTCAAGTCTGCAGTAAAGAGCAAACATAATATTTATTTTTAAGTGAACTTCTGTATAAATTTTATTATAAGCTTCTCATTCACTATTGCATAATCCTAATACAGCATATATATATATATGTAGACTTATTTTTTTTATTAAAAAAAAACCTGTGATAGTTCAGAAATTTATTGTTCCTGAATTTATATTTCAGTATTATGATACTGTCTCACAAAAGAAATCTTACACATGTCTTAGTTATTTTAAGTTAATTTTTTGGCGAACGTATCACCTTTCCTTAATAGCTTTCAAAGTTCGGCTTGTTAAATCTTCCCAAAGTATTAGTGACATTACTTTTACATGGCCTTTGGAGTTACAAACTCCTATGTAATACAAGGTGTTCACATAAGTGTTTGACCCATTTATGCACTCTCTGTGTTATACTTGATATCCATATTCGTTTCAGAAACATGTTGCCAGATGCTGTAATTCCACCATTTGAAGACCATTCATATGCCCAGTGGTTAGAGAGAGAAAGTATGCCATCTTCACCACAGCCATCACCATTCAAGAAAGTTTTAGAGACACCTGTTAAGAAACTCCTTCCATTAGGTAAGGTTTACACTGTGGGAAAAGTACTGTTTTTATCTATATAAACTCCCAATATCAGACTGCATTGAAAATATTGTGGATTCATTATTATTCGTGGGATACCAGTTTTCGTGGGTACAGGTGAACAACTAAATTAAATGTTTAATGAAGTACACATTTTCTACAGGCTTGTATGCAGACTTTTGTAAATCCACGAAATCAAATATTCAAGAAAATATAATTTTTCTGTAGTCTGTGAATATTGTTACCCACGAAAATAAATAAATCCACTGTATGAAAATTATCCAAGTACTCCTTTCTTAAACTGAAAATGCTATGTTGTTCAAATTTTAATCATCTGTGATAATGTATCAGGCAAAATAATCAAAACAAGAGAGAAAATTAATATGATATGATTGGAAATTCTTTCTTTTAGTTGACCCAGAAGAAGAGGGAGAGAAAGTTTTATCGTCAGATCTGGCAGATGATGGACAGGACACGAGGAGATGTATTCTCTGTTGGCACTATGGTGATGTTGATCCTAATGTAAGTCCATTCAAATAGATGTGAAATCTTGTTATTATTTAAGACAGCAAGGTGTAGTGAGAAATAATTGTTTTTAACATAGAAGATCTTGTGGTTACTGAAAATTCTTCAGCTGTATCTATTTTTCACCCTTAGGATGAGTAAAAGGTTATTTGTCATTGTTTGTAGAGTCATGCCTTGATAAGTTCGTACTTTTTAATAAGTTTCTCGATTCAGAAATTTCATAAATTACTTGATACATGTAAGTCTAAAAACCAGAAACCAGAAACAACAAAATTCAGGAGTACTAATCATTCCTTGTCAGGGTTTGACACTAACTAAATGTATGTACTAGCCTGCAGGGCTAGTGAAATTATTATTCTACTAGTCCTCTTGTCAATTCACTAGCCCTCCCAAGTGCCGAAGGCACTTGGACGGTCGTGATACAGGCAGGACCCTATTTAGGAGGGTCTGGGGCATGCCCCCCCAGAAAATTTTGATACAAATGAAGCTAAATCCTGTGTTCTGGAGCATTTCCAGAGGGTTTTGAACATGTTTTGTTTCATGAAATTTCACTGGTTTGCTAATAAAAAATACCAAAAAAAAGAAAAAAAAATATATCTTAATCATCTTTATTAAGAATGTGTTCGACTTTTTTTGAAGACCCCTTTAGATCATTACTTCATCATCATCCTCATTTTACTTATCATTATTACTAGTGTCTTAAATGAAGATGAATAATTATGGATTTAAAAATACACCCACAAAAGAGGATAGGTTTGCCCTTGTTGTTTTTTGTCATAATTCTTCATGGACTCCTTCTTTTCCCTTGTTGTTTCAGTTTATTTTTTTTTGCAGGACAAGATTTTATTCCTAAAAATCTGTATATTTTTACCAGAGACCTATAATTTTGTTTTTATGACAATACATTTGTAATTCAGTATTAATTGTTTGCCTCAAATTACACAATAAAGACAGCAAAGGTCAGCAAAAAATCTGGGATTTGTTGACAATTAAAATTTTGTGAAATTCCTAGTTTTAAACAAAATTTTGACTAGCCCGTCGGACTACTGTGATGAAAACTTTACTAGCCCTCCCTAATTTTTACTAGCCTCGGGCTAGCGGACTAGCGTTAGTGTCGAATCCTGCTTGTAAGATTTCCATCTCTTTTCGAAAAATAACATTAAAAAATAGATAAGAATTTTACTCTTGAGAGATTTTCTCTTGTGCTTTCCATACACACATATTTATATTTGTGTTTGATAAAAATATGTATTATTATTTTAGAGAGAGGGAAGGTTGTTGTACACAGGTCAAGATGATTGGGTCCATATAAACTGTGCCTTGTGGTCAGCTGAGGTTTATGAGCAAGGTCGAGATGGTTCATTACAGAATGTTCATGAAGCTGTGTCAAGGGGCAAAAAGATGGTAATAATAATATGCTATTGATTTTCATGAAGTTAAAATGAAATTGTCCAAACAGTGAAGTTAAAGCCATCTACTAACAGCAAATATCTGATTACTTACACCAAAGTTAAAATTATGAAACAAAATGCACATCAGATTATTTGGATAGGTGCAAAATTGAATTTATCCTCAAATATTCCCAATCTTGTGTATTTTTATAAGCCCGTTAATGGGAATTATTATGGTATACCTTTGTCCGTCCGTCGTCAACATTTCGGACAATAACTCAAAAACGCTTTAACCAATTTGCATGAAACTTTGGTGAACTCCCTTTCGTGTTTTATAAATTTTAGATTTTACGTTTCCGAGTTGTGGGGTTTTATTCATTAAAAAAGGGGGATTTTCCAGTTTTCGGACAATAACTCAAAAAACACTTTCACCAATTTGCAAGAAACTTTGGTGAATTGTTAATATCTATTGAAATGAGCTCCCTTTCAATTTTTATGAATTTTATATTTTTTGTTTCCAAGGTGTGGGGTTTTATTCATTAAAAAAAGGGGGGTTTTCCAGTTTTCAGACAGAACTTAAAAATGCTTTCATCAGTTTTCATGAAACTTTGGTGAATTGTTTATATCTATTGACGTAAGCTCCCTTTTGATTTTTATAAATTTTAGATTTTATGTTTCCCAGTTATGGGATTTTATTCTTAAAAAAGGGGTGATTTTCTAGTTTTCGTAACAACATCTTTAAAGTGCTTTGTGCAGTTTTCATGAAACTTTGTTGACCGGGTTTATATCTATTAAGATAACCACCCTTTAGTTTTCATAAATTTCTGATATGACATTGAGAAGTTATTGAACTTTATTCTTTGAAAAAACGATGGGTGTATCATGAGCTCATGGTGCAGCTGTTTATAAGTCTTATATTTATTGGTGTGCGTAATGGCAACCAAAGAATTATAATGTGTTATGAGCAAGTTTCATTACATCATATATTGAAACTACAGAACCGTTTTTCCTATTGTATTGCATAACAAAAATAATTAATGCACAAGAGCTTAAAAAATGTATAAAATCAAATAAAATAAAATTCCACCAAATTTCATGAATGATCTTGGCGCATTAACGTCATGTCATAACATGATGTCATACAAATGAAATCTAAAGCTGAATGTTTTCCGTTATGTATACGGCCTAAGTTCGGATAATATTGCATTAAAATGGAGTTTTGAGGTAGGTGTTGTTTCATTTTCTATTCCATTGCATTATTCGCACATTTGTGGATTTCAGCAAGTCAACATGGCGGCTCACTCCTTAGTTACGACATGTCAACTCTGGATTTGACAGTAAATAGTAGCCAACGAAAAATGTTTGGGTTAAGAATTATGAGAATTGAACACATTTTTTCTACTGCTTATTTGAGAAATAATTCATGTAAGACTTAGATTTATATGAAATTTGTAGCTTTTATCTTACAGGGGTAAAATAGAACAGCCATACACACGGCAATCTTACGTTCGCTTCAGTTTTTGAATTACCGTATTTGTCCTATTAGAATCGAAATAATTCATGGAAGCCATAGATTTGTTGGACATTTACACATGGCCTGGGCCGTGATATTCGTTAATTTTATCCCTTGCTAACACTCAGGATAAAATTCAAATATCACGGCCCAGGCCATGTGTAAATGTCCAACAAATCTATGGCTTCCACTTCTAGTCTTTTTTATCAACAGTAAACATTAATAATTGAAATAAATCATACTTTTATTTCAGAAATGTGATATTTGTCAGAGAGCTGGAGCTACGGTTGGGTGCTGTACCAGAGGTTGTCCTGCCAATTACCATTTTATGTGTGCTAGAACAGACGGGTGTTTATTTCAGGATGATAAAAAAGTGTTCTGTTCACAACACAAGGAAAAAGTTGATGGAGAGGTAAAAACAAATGTTTATTTGGAACTGCTTTTATGCCGTTTTTGTAGATGCCATATTGAGGGCATTAAAATATTCTTGCAGACACTTGATTACTTTTCCTTCTTAAGGCAATGCCACTTAAAGTCATGTAGGTTTTATTTAATATTGAAAATATTTATATTCCTTTGAACAATTCATAGTTGTTGTATTAAAATGGATTGGAATATTAATGCAGAGGTCTGCCAAATGACCAACTAACAGTTATTCGAAATAAAGCTTGAATAGTTTTATGTTGATGTGCATGCTTGCGTTTAATTTTCAAGGAATGTATCAAACCAAAACTGTAATAATAAGTATTGAAAACTCAATCTGTATCATTCCTAATTGATGTTGACACTTTATTTTGATTGATTTTTATTCTTATTTAATTGTAGATTGTTATGAAAGACGAGTTTGCTGTAATGAGAAGAGTATGTGTTGATAGAGAAGGCATGAAATTCACCAAGAAAAGTTGGACAAAGGGTCTTACTGCTGCTGAAATCAACATTCTTATAGGTGAATACAGTAGCTTCAATGTCTTGCGGTCATAAAAATTTTTAGTACGATAATTGTACCAAGACTCAGAATTTAACCAATCAAAATACTGGATCAAGCACAAACTTTGAACTACAAGTATTGAGTATAGTTTTATGACCGAGAACCAAGGTCATAGTAACGAAATGGTATTTTAGTAAATATGCATGTGTAAAAAATCTCCTTAAGAATTAACACAATATTTTAGATGACAAATATTATAGATACCTGTTTTATGATCCTCAAGAGTAGTTGACTTCCCAAGACTAACTGATAGAGTACAACATATTGATGATGATGGCAATGTTTACTATCTTAAAAATGTAATCAAGTCAAAATATTATGTAGAATTATTCATGTTATGATGAGAAGAAAAATTTGAAGTTTTTTGTTTTATTAAAAAGAAAAACTAAGAAAAAATTAAAAGCAATTGTCATATCTACACATCGAAATATCAACTCTTGAAATTTCTGCAATTGATGATGTTTGTAATACAGAAAAACAGTTGAAAAGTAGTTTTGAATGTTGCCTTAACACTATTATGTTTATTTGCAGGGTCCTGTACAATAGAGTCATTAGGATATTTGACATCTTTATCTGATTGTAAAGGTGTACTTCTCCCTGTTGGATTCAGGTATGCATGCTTATAAATAGTATTATAATAGCATAATAACACATCTTGAGTTTAAAAAGTGCCAATATTTATGTTAACTGGTACAAAAAGTGCTAACATTTATGTTAACTCGACATGTATAGCAACTGGTACAAAAAGTGCCAACATTTACATTAACTGGTACAAACAGAATGAATAAAGAGAATCATTGCAATTTGAGGAAACATTAATATATCAAAATTTAAAAGGCAAATTTGTTTTTTTTTGGGGGGGAACATATCTCATTGCAATTTTAGCAAAAATATTAGCATTGCAAAATTTACAATAATCCTACAACAAAATAAAACAAAACAAAAAGACATGTAGAGGTTAATGTAGGGTCTTCAACAGAAATTGTATATACAACTAAGTATGTACTGTTTCAGCTCAAACAGTTTATTTAGATCATATGTATCCAATGCTACACTGAAATATGAAATGGATAATAGTCTGTGAGACATATAAAAAAACTTCTAGAAATAGTCTTTGTTATTACCAATTTATCTATTTTGAATTTGAAAACATTAAAAGTGTTTTAAAAATTTAAAAGAAATTTGTGTTAGTTTCAAGGCACTATTTTTATACGAACGCAAAAAATAAAAAAATTTTGGTTGTATATTGGTATGTCGTCGTCGTCCGAAGATACTTTGGTTTTCGCACTCTAACTTTAGTTTAAGTGAATGGATCTCCATGAAATTTTACCATAAGGTTCAATACCACAAAAGGAAGGTTGGGATTGTTCGGGGGTTATGGTACCAACAGTTAAGGAATTAGGGGCCAAAAATAAGCATTTTTGTAACTTCCAGACATAACTTGTGTGTTAGTGTATGGATCTCTCTGACATTGTACCACAAGGTTCCATATCACACAGGGAATGCTGGGATTGATTTTTGGGGGTAATTGCCACAAAATTTAAGAATAAGGGGCCAAAAAAGGGGCAAAAAACAAGCATTTTTCTAGTTTCATGATAATAACTTGTGTGTAAGTGTATGGATCTTTCTGAAATTGAAGTACAAAGTTCCATATCACAAAGAGAAAGCTGGAATTGAGTTTGGGGGTAATTGCCCGAAACATTTAGGAATAAGGGGCCAAAAATAGCATTTTTCTAGTTTCCAGACAATAACTTGTCTTCAAGTGTATGAATCTCTCTGAAATTGTACTGCAAGGTACCATACCTCAAAGGGAAGGCTGGGATTGAGTTTGAGGGTGATGAATCATAAGGGGGGTTCAAAAAATTTAAGGGAGGGATTTTTTTTTCTTTAAAATTTTCCATTTTAAATTGGTTATTTCTGATTAATATATTAAAGCAAATAATAATGATATGGTTTGAATAGGTAAATTAAAAAAATTTAAGTTCTTAGACCCCATTCATTCTGTGTCAGAAACCTATGCTGTGTCAAATATTAAATCACAATCCAAATTCAGTGCTGTATCAAGCTTGAATGTTGTGTCCATACTTGTCCCAACTGTTCAGGGTTCGACCTCTGTGGTCGTATCAAGCTGCTCCCAGCGGAGCAATTTATTATTTTTATACGCCCGTTTACGGGACGTATTATGGTATACCGTTGTACGTCCGTCCGTCCGTCGTCAACATGTCGGACATTAACTCAAAAACGCTTTAACCAATTTGATTAAAACTTTGGTGAATTGTTTATATCTATTGATGTGAGCTCCCTTTCGTTTTTTATAAATTTTAGATTTTACGTTTCCGAGTTATTGGGTTTTATTCATTAAAAAAAGGTGGATTTTCCAGTTTTCGGACAATAACTCAAGAATGCTTTCACCAACTTGCAAGAAATTTTGGTTAATTGTTTATATCTATTGACATGAGCTCCCTTTGGATTTTTATAAATTTTAGATTTTACGTTTCCGAGTTATAGGGTTTTATTCATAAAAAAAGGGGGATTTTCCAGTTTTCAGACAATAACTCAAAAATGCTTACAGCAGTTCTCATGAAACTTTGATGAATTGTTGATATCTATTGATGTAAGCTCCCTTTCGAATTTTATAAATTTTAGATTTTACATTTCAGAATTATGGGTTTTATTCATTAAAAAAGGGGGGATTTTCCAGTTTTCAGACAAAAACTCAAAAATGCTTTCAGCAATTCGTATGAAACTTTGGTGAACTGTTTATATCTATTGATGTAAGCTCCCTTTAGAATTTTATAAATTTTATTTGTTTATAGTCTGACAACAGATTTACTAAGTATTGCGCAACAGCACAGTGTATTGCACAACAGCAAGAAATCTTTAATTGAATATAAATTCAATTCATATAACCAACTTCAATTTCTTTGACTACATTTATTCAGAAACCTATAACAGATGTATGTCAAATATTTAATTACAATCCAAATTCAGACCTGTATCAAACTTGAATATTGTGTCCATTTTTGCCCCTTACTGTTCAGGGTTAAACCTCTGCGGGCGTATCCAGCTGCGCTCAGCGAAGCAGTTTATTATTTATTTTTTTTAATTTTTTTTTATTATGTTACTTTGAATTACTACAAATTTTGGAAGAGCATTTATATCTAAACTGACTTTTTCCTTCTCCAGTTCCACCCAGTTAATAAGTGTAGATGTTTGGAATAATAAAAAATTTATGGATGTTTTCCATTTCAGCTGCACCAGAGTTTACTGGAGTACTAAGCACTCAAGGAAAAGATGTGTATATACCTGTAAGATCACAGAATTCCGACCAGAAACTCCAAAGACTCCTGAAGCCACAATCATGGATATGACTGTCATACACGATGTGAATCATCCAGATTATGTCCCCTTGTCAAAACTTAATCTCCCAGGCATAAATCTGTTTCCACAGAAAACAAGGAAGAGGGCTAGCATTATAGAATTGACTGATGATGAGTCTTCTGTTTGCTCCAATGAATCCTCACGGACAATATCTGAATCAAGTCTTGACAAGACGCGATCCATGTCAGTAGACCGTGAAGATCCACTAAGTTCGTCATGGCCAGCACCAAATAAAAAGCGTAAAAATGACCAAGTGCCTATAGATTTGTCTATGCTGTCTCCAACAACTTTGCGTCTGCTAAACAAAGATCCAGAAAAGTACAGAAATGAATCGAGAGACCAAAATAAATCAATTAATAAGAACTTGCCACCTTCTCTGCCAGTCGTCAATGACAATCCTCTGGCAGAGATTGCTAGTAGGTTAAATAGTGCTGCAGCTAGAAACAGACAGAAGAGTGAAGAAAGGACAATTGCTGGAAAGACAACAATAGTCATTCCTGATCGTCCATCTAGTGCTCCCACATTACCGAGATCTAGGTCAAACTCTTCTGAACGTCTCATATCACCTCCACGATTGTGTTCATCTCCTAAATATCTACCTCAGGTGCCTGAATCTGTAGACACTTGTGATAATGATAAACAGGAGGTTCCCATGGAAACTGACAGTCTTGTAAAGTCTTTTGATTTAGACAAAAGTTTAGAACCTCTTATTAATGAATTGTCAGGTGAAGAAAATGCTTTGATTGTAATAACTGAGGAAGGTCAGGAATTAACTGAAGAGGATTATGCCATGATCGCCGAGTATAGCAGTGAAATTCAGAATAGTTCTAGTGAAGGATCTGCTGAAATTGAAGTAAATAAAGGCAGCAAAATGACTTCGGAACAGGTCATTGATGAACCAGATAAACAAGTTGATGAATTAAGTGTAACACAAAACAGTCGCAGCGATAGTAAACTTCTCAAAAATGGTCAGCCTTCTACTGAATCTGGCAGTACAGTCAGTTCAATTAAACTGTCGTCTAATACAGAGATTGTGAAAAGTGGCCAAGAATTATCAGTACAGACAATAAATGCAAGCACAGATATTCCTGTAGAGAACAATAGTCAATATAACACAAAACCTTCATTGGTTGTTCCAGTGTCGAATAGTTCAGTCACTCATGATCAGTCTGAGCAAAATAAAACTGTTAATATACTACCTGGAAAAGAATTATCTGATGAAGTGCCTGTAAATCTTCCAGAACAATCAACTTCAAGATCTGGAGAAGTGCCAGCAATTGTGTCAACAAGTTCCTCTTTGCAGAATATTGGTAATTACAAGAAATTTTATGTGACTTTGAGTTATTTCGGTGAAAATATCCCTTATTATTATACTTTACTTAGTATGTAAACCACTACTTAAAAAAAAAAACAAAATAATCACTTTTACCCTCTGGAAACTGCATGAAGGCATATAACTGTTTGGAAATTTGGGAAGTAGTAAAAATTACCCCTTTTTCCTGTGTGGATTGGCAAATTTAAGTCGTCTGGTAAAAATTAGTGAGGCCACAAGATTTGGTTGCAGTTCTGATTTTTTTGTTATAGAAAGTATTTTACACAAAAAAAGACTTAAAACACAAATCATTCAACAAAAATAGCATTACCTCATATTTAGTTTAGTATGATAATACAATGATAGCCTTCATTAAAAGTTAATAAAAATTATTAAATCTTAAAAAGATTATTTTCCCTTGGTCCTGTAGACCTTAGAAAAGTAACCTTTTCTCTATTACATAAATTTAAAATTAAAATATACACCTGTATAACAAAATGTCTATTAATGCTTGTTGTATGCATATTTCCCTCTTTTTGGCTTATTATTCTGCTGCCATATATCATGTATATGTAAAAAAGAAATGTTGTGTAATTGCCAACAAAGCAACTAAAGGTCCTTGTACAACCTTCTACAATGAGTCAAACCCATACCAATTATCAAGCTGTATAAATAGGCCTGACAAAACAAATGTAAAACAATTCAAATGAGAACAAATATGATATTCAGTAACTAATGAGAACTACTGAATTACAGGCTCCTGACTTGGGACAGGCACATACAGAATGTTCAGGTGTTAAATATGTTGATGGGTGCCAAACCATGCAGGCATCTGTTCTTTTTGTAAGAATTGGGATTTCATTGATTGTTGGTCAGACTCCAATCTATGGTTAGAATAAATTTCAATGTCCAGCTGAGAAAAATGAACAATCTTGACAAGGGATTTGGAAAGGAATATGAGGCTTTTAATGCAATAAATGGATTTTTTTAAACTAAAGGCAATTTTTGTCTCGCCTGCGATGAAATTGCTTTTCCGGCAACAGCGTCAACAATTGTTAAGTTAGTTTGATAGGAATTACTTGTGATAGATCATTGATATTTAATATAAAGTTGCATTACTATCATTTCATATCAGTTTGACAACTATTTCGAGGCCCTGCCCCCTAGGTCATGGTCCAGACTCCAGTGACTTTGAATTAATTAGCAATTTTCAATGTTAAGTTTTCTGCTTAAGTTAGTTTGCTAGGACCTACTTGTGATAGATCAATGATATTTTGTATGGAGTCACATTACTATCTGTACATATCAATTTGACGACTATTTTGAGGCCCTGCCCCCTAGGACATGGTCCAGTGACTTTGAATTAATTAGCAATTTTCAATTTTAAGTTTTCTCCTCAATTTGATAAGAACTACTTGTGATAGATCAATGATATTTTGTATGAATATGCATTACTATCAGTTCTTATCAGTTAGATGATTATTATGAGGCCCTGCCCACTAGATAATTGTCCAGCGACTGAATTAATAAACCATGTTGCTGTCAATCAGATTGTCTTTTTCTGAATTTTATGCCGACAGGCGAGACATTTATCTGTGTCAACAGTTTATTGATAATGTTTTAATGAAGTAACACATTTACATTGCTGAAAATCATAATCTTTCCATATTAATCAAGTTGAAGGAACAAAATGAAAGCACTGACTTCGCAGACTGCATATGTTTTTTCAATGGAACAACTTTCATGCAAGCAAATTGAAGTTATTTTCTCTCATTTCTGGAAATTGAAACACGAGCATATATAAAAAGATTATGATTTTCAGCAATGTAAATGTGTTACTTCATTAAAACATTATCAATAAACACTCCTCTGCGACAAGGGAAAATAACTGATGACGAAAGGGACTGTTTGAACACCCAGGCGACTAGATATTGCTTTTGGTGATAGGGGAAAAGTAAAGTGAAGGACAGGGAAGTGAGTTCTTTTCCCTTGTCGCAGAGGAGTGTGATCTGATATTTAATGGCAGAATATTCAAACTTGTGTATTTTTAGATTAAAGCAGTTGTTTTCATTTTTCAGGACTAAGAGAACCTGTCATTGGTATAACATACAGTGATAGGGATGATGGTTCACAAGTCACAAATCAGAAGTTACAACACATTGATCATACTGAATCAGAGAAAAGTGGAAGTATTTCTTTTGCCTCAAGTGAAATAGGATGTCAGACAAATACTGAATTTGATTCTGATGAAGAAGATGTCATTGAGAAAGATGGTAAGATGAAAAAAGCAGCAAAAGGAGATTGTCCCGTTCTAGAAAAAGTTGATAGTTCTTCAGAGGAGTCTTCGCTAGAGAATGTTGATGATGTGGAATTAATGCCAGTTCTCACTATAGAAAGTCCAATGAAAGAAAAGTTGAATGTTTCTGTAGAAGATACTGAAAACGTTAAGAGAATATTGAAGATAGATGATAGACAGGAAACTGATAGTGCAAAAACACTATTGGAAAGTGAAAGATTGAAAATCAGTACACCAGATGTTGATTTTAAAGAGAATATTTCTGAACCACCAAAAAATTTTGCTATGAGAAACTCTGAAACATATATACTGCATGAAGAAACTGGTGATTTTATTCCTAAGGTAGTTTCACCTATAAAAGAAATTATCTCATTAAGTTCTGAAGATGAGGTTGAAAATGTAAAAACTAAGCATGGTCTTCCTGCAAAAGATCAGCCTGAAATAACAAAACCAACCAAGAATACACCATCAGGGAAAGATGAGCATAAAAGTACAGAAACACACCAGTGTGCACCATCAAAGGATCGTAATGTATTTGAAGTTTTAAATTCATCTGTTGAAACTGACGAAAATGAAAAGCAGAAAACAGAAATTCTAAAAGGTTTAGGATTAGAAAGGACACCCTCACCAAAGCGAGAGAAACAGCCTCGTAAATCTTATCCATTACGTCACAGACAAATATTCAGTGAAGAAGAAGCACAGATGGAAGAGAAACCTCTACATGACAAAATAAGTGAAAAGATAAAAGCTGAGAGCCTTGCTAAGAGTACTCCAGGAGAAGAAGGGCCATTTAAATGTCCAACATGTAAACGACATTATAGAACAAAGGAGAGTTATAACACACATGTTAGTAGCTGTGATTTTGATATTAGTAGTACTACAGACGAGGAAGAGGAACCTGAGCCTACTTCTAGGGAAGGAAGATACCCCATGAGAGGAACAACCATCGCCCAGACTGTTGTTAGTCAGGTTGATGAACAAGAAAGAAAATCTAGCACAAAAAAACCTGGAAGGCCAGGTCCAAGATACAATATGTCACCAAAAGTTGTATTAGATCGTTTATCGCCATCTAGATGCAGTATCTCGGTAAAGACATCTAATTCTAATCTGAAAGAGTCTACTTCAAAGACTACAGCGATCAAAAGAGGAAGAGGTAGACCCCCAAAAATTGCTGCTACTCCAACAGATGATGAACAGGCTGAAGAACTTTCAGATTTAATGCAGGAGAGCGAAGAGTTGACCACAGCTTCAGAAAAGGAAAAGAGAAAGAGGGGAAGACCTCCTTTACATAAAACACCTGAAATAAAGTCAGATTCATCACAGCAGAGTATAGAATTGTCAAGTCTAGAACAAGATACTGAAAAGAGAAAGAGAGGCAGACCTCCTTTACATAAAATTTCAGAAAGTACTGCAAAAAGTGAATCATCAAATGACAGTACTTCTATGTCGGAACAATCTACACCAAGAGGTAGAGGACGTCCCCCGAAGTCATCTATAGTTCAGTCTAAAATAAGCAATATAAGAGATAAGTACAGGAAACATCAGCGATCCAAAAGTGATGGACTGATAGCAACCAAAAAGCACGATATCTCAGAAGTGTCTGACAATCCTTATGCAAGGCAATATTTGTTCAAGAAAACAAGCCTCAATTACAATACAAAACAGAGTCTTCTCAGTTCCTCTAAAATTTCCAGACGATCTCTGCAATTAATGTCTCGTAAATCATCAGCTCAGACTACAAGGAGACGTCACTTTACCGATTCAGAGTCTGTAAACATGAAATCTGTTTCTAAGAGAAGAGTTAGCAGTGCTTCTTCGTCTTCTAAAGATTTAGATAAGTCAGCTAATGATCAAGAGTTAGACAACATGGAGAAATTAGCTAGTCTGGAAAAACAAATTAACCGCAAAAGAGGTAGACCAAGGAAGAAGCCTTTGGGTTTTAAATCTGACATAGAGGTTGATCCAGACAAGTCTGATCATTCTGAAGTGAAAGAAGAAGTTTGTGATGAAAAAAATGACAAGATTAGCAGTAAAGATGACAAAGTAGATGATCAAAGTGACATCTATGATAACATGGAAGTTAAAAATAGTGATGAGAAAGAAATTAAGAATAAACAGGAAATAGAAAGTGAAACAGACAGCAAATCTGATGAAATCTGCAGCAAGAAAGATGTTCAAAATGAGTCTGATACCAAATCAGATATTTGTAGTAAAGTTGACAACAAAACTGAAACTAAAGCTGAAGTTGAAAATACATTGGATACAGAGGTTGATGGAAAATCAGATATAAATTCAGATACTGAAACTCTCTCAGATCAGGAAATGAAAAATGAAGATATATCTGATATGGAGGAAGCTTTAGATAAAGAGATCAAACAAGAAATCCTTGATGAGGAATATCTAATTGATACAACTGAAGTAAAGCCTGAGAAAGAAGTAATTGAAAATAAGGATGTAATTCCACTAGAACCAAAAGATATAGAACAGAAAGATGTAAAATCTACTGAAATAGATGGCAATTCCCTTAGTAAAGATGACCAAAGCTCATCTGTCAAGACTGTTTCTGAAATTTTAGGCTCTGCTGCAAGACCACTTGTTATTGATGATGATGACGATGATCAACCCATTAGGGAAGTTAAACCCAAATATAAAGCAATAAAGAAACGTGAGAAGACGCCTAGAAAATCATTTGAAGATGAAAGTAATGTTGCCTCTTTAAAATCATCTCCAGCAGTCAAAGCATTGTCACAGTTCTTGGCACAGAAAGAAAAAACTCCACCAAAAAATGAACCTGTGACTAACCTAAAAACTGGACGATCTGCATGTTCCTTTCAGGAATTATTAAAAGATAAACCATCTAATATTCATACTCCTCGTTTCGATTCCAGTAGAAAACCATCCCCTCAACAATTAACTCAGACAAGAAGGGCATCAGAGGAGCTGAAACACAGTCAAGATATTGGGACTGGTACCAGTTCACCAAGATCACGCCATTCCTCTGGGCATTCTACCGATGAAAGGAACATTTTCCAATTGCTAAACAAGGGTTCTCCACCAAAATTAAATAGTGGAAGTGGTGGCTCTTACAATGCAATAAAACCTGCAGCAGAGTATGGCCAGTCTCAGCAGCCATCTGTTAGAGGACCTCCTCCCTTGATGACACCCTCATTAATTGGTATCCATAATCCTAATTTAGCCAGTAATCCAGCACATTCACTGACAGCATTCCAGCAACTTCAACAGAACATGCCACATGCCATACAACAAATACAGCAGATGCATAGTAGATCAACCCCAGCTATAATACCATTAACACAAGCAATGTCATCACAGATGGACATTTCACATGTAGGTGCAGAAAGACCAGGTCCAGCTCCATTTGACATGAATCTGCACATTAACCGAATGATTATGGAAACATCAATGGCAGCAGGTCCACTACATCAAAGGCAGGTTCTGCAACAAATGATATTGAATGAGTCGGCTAATAATGGCAAAGCACCTGAAACACAGCAGACTTCTCAAATACATACACAAGCTGTTCAAAGTCCAATAACAACCCCACAAGCATCATCAGGTTCATACAGCAGATCTGGTCGGCATACTCCAGTATACAACTTGCCACCACCACAGAACCAAAGTCCAACAACTCCAGTATCTACACCAAATAAGAGTCCTGTATTATCAAGGATACCAGATTTATCACCTGGTTCATACCACAGTGTAGGTCAGTGTGGAATTAAGCAAACTCCCATATACAACCTGCCACAAAACCAAAGGCCAACAACTCTTGTAACTGACCACCTGAAAAAACCACCAGTTAATAGTAAACTTATTCCTTTGACACAATTAATGGAAGCAGGTCTTCAGTCTAAATTAATTATTCCAAAGGTATCCATTCAATCAGCATCTTCATCTCCCGATAGTCTGCAGTCATCACCACTTCATCAACTTAGCCGTCCATCGTCATCACTAGCAGTCAGTCGTCCACCATCAACTTCTCCAGTCAGTCTTCCCCAGTCAACATTGCCTTTAGCTCTACCTCAACAGAAACAAGGTGGTGCCAAACCCAACACTATTGTACGCATATTTGTGGATGGCAAACCGGTTGCCTTGACCACAGATCCAACTGTCCTTCAGGATCATACAGCATTATTGAACAAACTTGGAGGCGGTCAGATTCAGAGTGGAACATATTCTGTCACAGTTTCAGCTCACCGTGTTCCGTCGACCAATTCAAGTCCTGTGAATACGAGTGGTGTGAACAACCAGCTACCAAGAGTTCCAGCAATACAGCCAATAGTTCCAATGTCCCAAAATGATCAGTTCTCTCCATGGAAAGCCCCTGGAAATGTTCCAGATTCAGGCAAGCATATGACAATTTCATCAGCCATTAAAGATGCGTTGGATAGTCACTTAGTGTCAAAACTATCTTCTAATGAGGTGTCTCCTTCAAAATCGAACCAAGTATTATCATCTCTCTTGAGTAGGCAGAGAAACCTCAATCATCATAGCTATTCTAAAAATTCATTAATGCCTAGAAATGTGCAGGAGCTGATAAAGAGGTTGCCATTACCAGACAGACCAATATCTTCCATATCTGTCCAACCAAAAGTCATGACCTCTTTTGTGAAAAAACCTGATGGAACCATTCAGAAAAAGACATTGGTCAAGCCAATGATAGTAAATCGCAAAAGACCAGCCATCAATCCAATCAACTTATCGGGAAGTTCTTTCAAAAAGCCCATGATATCAACCTACCAAGAGAAGAATGGCACTGTTCAAGGACTACTGTCTAAAGTTTATATGAGAAAATTGGTGAAAGATGGATCACCTAAACCAAAGATGGCCGACAGTATGCAGCAGACTACACAAACTGGACATGAATACTTCAAACGTAGAGGTAGAAAACCCAAGGATAAAAGTCTAAAGAAGAGGACACCTAGAAAATCTAATATCAGCAAACCACATGCTGGAGGTAAGTTAAAATGAGAACTTTTACTTAGAACTATTCCTAGAAAAAATGTATCGGACAACACTTTTTTATACTTTACCCAAAATTCATATTTTCATTTGTATCAGCTTTCACCCCTACTACCCACACAAAAAATAACATGGTATCGGAACATTCCCATACATTATTACATGTTTTCTAGGAATAGCCCTAAGTTGAATGAAACTTTTTACTGACCAATATTATGGAAATCTTGTATGAGGCAGAAAGATTTTTTTTTTCATTTGCTCATTCAAACTAATATTATTGCATTTTGAGATCATTTGATTGATTGACTGTTGGTTGCTTTAATAGTAGAGATCGTTTGAATAAAAGGTTCCTTTTATTTCACGATCTAGAAAATGGAAATTTTAAAATTAAAACATTCTATGGTAAATAAACCAAGAAGATAGATATAATACTGATATCATGGAATTTTCAAAAATGTGATTTTAGTCTCTTATTTGCTAAATATTAACAATCAACTTGTCAGGACATTCAGGCAAATCGCTTTAATATAATCTGTCACTATACTAAATATATTCATAAATGTTACAAATACTTATTATGCTTTTCAATATTTTTTGCAGAAAGATCAGCCCATCCTATTATTCATGGTCCAAAAGAGGTTACTTCCTTGCCTCAGCCTGCCTTAGAAGAGGAAGTTACTGAATCCTCCATGTCAAGCTTTATGGAACACCAACAGCGAGTTCTGGAAAAGGCTGAGAGGAAAGATAAGGATGGTGCACATCTGATGTTCGAGATCACTAGTGATGACGGATTCAGTTGCAAAGCGGAAACTATGGAAGGTTAGTAAAAAAAGAGATGGTAGGAGAGTATACATATCACTATGGCTTTCAATTTTGAAATATACACATAAAACTTTAAAAATTATCAATTAGGATTAAAAAAAAATAATGCTGCTGGGAAAGCAACAAAAGTCCTGTTCTTTTGTCAAAATTCAATGCTTAAAAGCTTTGCACTGGCATACTTTTGTCTTGTTTTATCACATTGAATTCATTTAATTTCTAAAAATAGAAAAATTAAAAGTATGCTATTCATTTTATAGTTTTGAAAAATGACATGGAAGACCCTCATAATAGTAATGTATTAAAATCAATTGTTCAAAGCAATTTGTGTTTTCTTTTTTACAGAAGCTTGGCAGCAAGTTACAGAAAGAGTACAGGATGCAAGAACAACTGCAAGGTTAAAACATTTATCTTGTGCAAGTAAGTAAGATTTGGTATGCTTTCTGGTACATGAATCTTAACAAGATAACAGTAATTAAATTAAATTGAGAAATTATTGAGGTCTTTCCAGAAATAAAAAAATAAAGATACAAAGATGTGGTGTGATTGCCAATGAGACCAGTCTCCACCAGACCAAATGATGTAGATGTTAACAACTACAGGTCCTTGTAGAAGGCACCAGTCTCCATCAGACCATATGATGTAGATGTTAACAACTAAAGGTCCTTGTAGAAGGCACCAGTCTCCGTCAGACCAAATGATGTAGATGTTAACAACTAAAGGTCCTTGTAGAAGGCACCAGTCTCCGTCAGACCAAATGATGTAGATGTTAACAACTAAAGGTCCTTGTAGAAGGCACCAGTCTCCACCAGACCAAATGATGTAGATGTTAACAACTACAGGTCCTTGTAGAAGGCACCAGTCTCCGTCAGACCATATGATGTAGATGTTAACAACTAAAGGTCCTTGTAGAAGGCACCAGTCTCCGTCAGACCAAATGATGTAGATGTTAACAACTAAAGGTCCTTGTAGAAGGCACCAGTCTCCGTCAGACCAAATGATGTAGATGTTAACAACTAAAGGTCCTTGTAGAAGGCACCAGTCTCCACCAGACCAAATGATGTAGATGTTAACAACTACAGGTCCTTGTAGAAGGCACCAGTCTCCACCAGACCAAATGATGTAGATGTTGACAACTACAGGTCCTTGTAGAAGGCACCAGTCTCCACCAGACCAAATGATGTAGATGTTAACAACTAAAGGTCCTTGTAGAAGGCACCAGTCTCCACCAGACCAAATGATGTAGATGTTAACAACTAAAGGTCCTTGTAGAAGGCACCAGTCTCCGTCAGACCAAATGATGTAGATGTTAACAACTACAGGTCCTTGTAGAAGGCACCAGTCTCCACCAGACCAAATGATGTAGATGTTGACAACTACAGGTCCTTGTAGAAGGCACCAGTCTCCATCAGACCAAATGATGTAGATGTTAACAACTACAGGTCCTTGTAGAAGGCACCAGTCTCCACCAGACCAAATGATGTAGATGTTGACAACTACAGGTCCTTGTAGAAGGCACTAGTCTCCATCAGACCAAATGATGTAGATGTTAACAACTAAAGGTCCTTGTAGAAGGCACCAGTCTCCGTCAGACCAAATGATGTAGATGTTAACAACTACAGGTCCTTGTAGAAGGCACCAGTCTCCATCAGACCAAATGATGTAGATGTTAACAACTACAGGTCCTTGTAGAAGGCACCAGTCTCCACCAGACCAAATGATGTAGATGTTGACAACTACAGGTCCTTGTAGAAGGCACCAGTCTCCATCAGACCAAATGATGTAGATGTTAACAACTAAAGGTCCTTGTAGAAGGCACCAGTCTCCACCAGACCAAATGATGTAGATGTTAACAACTAAAGGTCCTTGTAGAAGGCACCAGTCTCCGTCAGACCAAATGATGTAGATGTTAACAACTACAGGTCCTTGTAGAAGGCACCAGTCTCCACCAGACCAAATGATGTAGAAGTTAAAACAACTAACGGTCCTTGTAGAAGGCACCAGTCTCCATCAGACCATATGATGTAGATGTTAACAACTAAAGGTCCTTGTAGAAGGCACCAGTCTCCACCAGACCAAATGATGTAGATGTTAAAACAACTAAAGGTCCTTGTAGAAGGCACCAGTCTCCACCAGACCAAATGATGTAGATGTTAACAACTAAAGGTCCTTGTAGAAGGCACCAGTCTCCACCAGACCAAATGATGTAGATGTTAACAACTAAAGGTCCTTGTAGAAGGCACCAGTCTCCACCAGACCAAATGATGTAGATGTTAAAACAACTAAAGGTCCTTGTAGAAGGCACCAGTCTCCACCAGACCAAATGATGTAGATGTTAACAACTACAGGTCCTTGTAGAAGGCACCAGTCTCCATCAGACCATATGATGTAGATGTTAACAACTACAGGTCCTTGTAGAAGGCACCAGTCTCCATCAGACCATATGATGTAGATGTTAACAACTAAAGGTCCTTGTAGAAGGCACCAGTCTCCATCAGACCATATGATGTAGATGTTAACAACTACAGGTCCTTGTACAGCCTTATACAATAAGCCAAACCCAGAATGCCTACCATGCATTAAATTTAATTTGGTTACGTCCTTTACTTCTGACACAGATATGTCGGATATAATTCAATTATTTTGATGAAATTAAACACCTTACAATAAAGGGAGAGCAATTTTTAACATGAACTGAAAAGGTTATATCAATCTGAAGGAATATATGATAAAAATTGATGGGAACTCTAAGATCTAATAGTATGGTAGTATTGACTGAGAGTATCTTCATATTTAAATGAATTTAGAAAGTACGAGCTACAGATAATAGATTGCTGGTGAATCATTAGAATTCTCATAGCAGTTTTGAATAATGGCCTGTACAGGTTGCATTGCTGTGCTATTATTGAGTTCACCTAACAAACACAGTATTAAGCAGAGAAAACTGATGTAAACTCCACAAGTTATCCATCAATCATATTGTACATATTGACAGAAGGCAAATTTTGTAACAATTATGTCCTATTTCAGGTGTACATGGGGTAAATATGTTTGGCGTGAACCACAATGCTGTACTGTACCTGTTAGAACAGTTATATGGAGCCCAGTTATGTCGTAACTATAAGTTCAGATATCAACAGTATACTCTCACAGAGGATGAAGAGGTAATAATTCTTTAAAGCAAAATAAAGTAGAGATATGTAAGTGACTGTAGACATTGATACAATGTAATGATTTTCTTTGCTTATGTTGAACACAAATGAAAAGTTCTTGCTGACAGGTTTTTCATATCTTTTTATGGCAGTGCTAAAGAAACAAATACAAATATGTAAACAGAAAACAGAGGTAATCTAGCTTATTGGAGTAAATCTTGTGTTATAAGTGTTACACGTATGTATTGTGTCTGAGTGATCAAATAAAAATTGTTCAAAGTTGTTGAAAAATTTGATACTGTAAGAAGTTGAAGATAATTTGAAGAATTTTTATAATCCTTTTAAAGAGCCAAAGTTTTGGTTAAGTATCAAATTCAAGTGATGTATAAAGGAAAATCTGTTTGTCATACTGTGGATTCATTTATTTTCATGGGTACCAATTTTCCTGGATTGAGGAACAATTGTATTTTTGTGTATATTTGATTTCATGGTTTTGCCAGAACTGCATACAAGCCTATAGCAAATTTGTACTTTGTTGAACATTGAAATTTGTGGTTCCCTTTACCCACGAAATCCACCAAAATTGGTATCCCAAGAATAATAATGAATCCACAGTATTTCGATTATGGTGGGAAATTGACAGCAGTAACAGTTAACCATAACACACTAAAAAGACTTGCATGGTGTATGTCATAGTTTGCTGATCAAGAAAACATTTTGATATCTCATTGTTATTGACAAGAGTTTGATGTCTTGTTTGACTAATTAATATTGCAGGAGCCTGTAGAGAACCCAACAGGATCCATCAGATCAGAGGCCTACCAATCACGTAAAGAATTTGATATCTTCAGTTTCCTCATGTCTCAGTATAGAAGACTACCAGAAATGGATTTGACAGATGCAAATAGTGAAATGAATCTCAAATCACAGAGGTTTGTTCAGTTTTAAATTTTCAACTACTGGCAGCGCTAAATCTTGGTGGCGACATGATGGGTTTAAATATTGTGGGTATTGACACCTTGCAACTTATGGTAAAAAGAATAAAATGATTTAAAACTGCAAAGAAATATTAACTTGTGAAATTAATAAAGTTCTAAGAATGTATTTAAAGATAAAGGAGTTTATATTGAAATTTGACAGGGTAATTTATTAGTTCATGAAGTAAGTTGCATTTTCTTTTTATCATTCATTGATTCCAGAGCAGTTAAATGTTATATGTGACTTCATTATATCCACTTTGTTAAACAAATATTACTTTAAAGGTAGAGGAAAACATATAGTTGATTTTTGTCGAGCCTTCAACTTTTGTCGAAAAAGCGAGACATAGCAATCCTACATTCCGTCCACAAATATTCACTCTGTGGTTAAAGTTTTTGAAATTTTAATAACTTTCTTAAACTATCCTGGATTTCTACCAAACTTGGACAGAAGCTTGTTTATGATCATTAGATAGTATCCAGAAGTTATTTTTGTAAAAAAAAAAATCCTGTTTTTCCGTATTTTACTTATAAATGGACTTTTTCTGCCAGGAAACATTACATTCACTCTGTGGTTAAAGTTTTTAAAATTTTAATAACTTTCTCAAACTATCCTGGATTTGTACCAAACATGGCCAGATGCTTGTTTATGATCAAAAGCTAGTATCTAGAAGGAAATTTTTATTAAAATTTTGTACTTGTTTATCCATATTTTACTTATAAATGGACTTAGTTTTTCTTCCAGTTAACATTACATACAGTCTGCAGTTAAATTTTTAAAAATATTTATTAGATTCATAAACTATCCTGGATTTTTACCAAACTTGGACAGAAGCTGCTTACAATAAAAAAATTGTATCGAGAGGAATATTTTTATTAAATTTTTTCCTCGTCTCATTTTTGTTGAGCCTGCGATTAACAGCAAAAGTAGGCGAGACACTGGGTTCTGCGGAACCCTAACGAATTTTTATGAAAATTCTTGTTGATTATCTTGCCGTAGTGAGAGAAGTTGTTGGCATAATACAGATAATGGCATACCTAGATGAAAATAGCCTGATTATAAGGTTGCAGTGTTCTCCCCAGAAATTTTTTAAGGCGCAAAATTTCAAGAGCGCGTAACTCTATTTTAGAGTGAACTATTGTGACCTGAAGCAATTGGTCATAAATCATTATATGCAATAATGCACAGTACTAATATACATGATAAAGAGTAAGAATATATGTATGAAATAAATTCATTTTAAACACAAAAAGCATTTATATCACAGTCAATTAAATAAGTCAAAACATATATATAGTTCAAGAAAAATCCTCATTTTCTTCTGGGCCTTCCAATGCTGAACAGCTTCAGAAATATTTATTTCTGTACTCTCTGTTCCTTCTAGAGATATAGTAACAAGACAGTTTGTAATTTTGTTGAACAGTCTGTTCCTCAGTCTTTATCCTCTTTAGGGTTGAAAACATCATCTGCCTTTCGCTTAACCCAGGGGCGGATCCAGCCATTTTTAAAAGGGGGGTTCCAACTATATGTCCCCATTCAAATGCATTGAACGTCCAAAAAAAAGGGGGGGGGGGGGGGGGGGGGGGGGTTGAAACCCCCCCTTGGATCCGCCACTGTAACCCATTTCTTCTTTGCAAAGAACATGTTGATTCAGCATTAAAATTGATTATGTTTAAGATGTTTGGTATACAACTTTTTAAAACATAAAAATTGTAATGAACCAGCTGACCAGTGTCCGTAGTTTGACATTATGCTTCCGTGTGTATAATTGTCAAAACGTATCTTTTGCAGGTAGATATAAACAAAACTTGACAAATTCGTCAAAGTTAAGACCAGTGAAATTCTTTACTAGTGACATTATACAAATGCTGCAGCAATTCCGTAAATATATTTCCCGATGGACGAATTAACGATCTATGTTAAAAAATTATTTTATTTCTAGAACGTGACAGTTGACAGAAGAATTTTACTTGCAAGCAACAATTTTTCACTTTCTAATAAAATAAATCACTCCTCGTTATCTTTAATAAAAGTTTATTTTACTTTTTTGACGTACAAATACTCTCATTCATAAATTTCATCGTAAATTTCTTTAGTAATGTGTATTCATCATGTTCATTGGTCGTGTTTAAATAGATTCTTCTTCTCGGCCAATGAAAATGTATTTGCGATCTATTTCTTCAATTTTTGGACTGAAGTTTTTAAAAACTTTTATTTTCTACTAAAAATATCTATCTTCTTGATGATCATTTACGCTATAACCTGATTACATGGTCTGATAAGGCTGGAACAGGTAAATCAGAGACTTTTGCTAGTTATCAGTTATTGTGCAACATTGACCGATCTCTCAGCGATGATCAGCAACTTGACAATTTTAACCAACATTTATAATTAAAATGTGAAAATTAACACGCTGGGTGATCAAGTATTAAGGGACAGCGGCCAATTAAGGCGCTGCGGGATCAACGAAAATATTTTGAAGGCACTGCGGGACACCAGTGTCATATCGGTCTGGGGAGAACACTGGGTTAATGATATTAAAATGTAGAAACGGGTGAGTTTGAACTATGAAGTAGGACATTTTTTTAGTTGTAAGATTGTCCTGAATATGCAAGAAATATTTCAACTGGATGTCTAACAACAATCAATCATTTTAAAAAGGTGTTAATGAAAAATGTAATTTCAGGAGAGCTACCAGTATGGACTTGCCAATGGCAATGAGGTTCCGTAAGCTGAAGGAACATGCAAGAGAGGCTGTTGGAGTATACAGGTAAGTTATAAGTGAAATAAATCTAATATTTCTATCAAATATAAATGGACATCTTTACATTCAAGTACCATTCAGTTTCTGCAAAAAGGTTAATCTTTATTAATTTTCTTTTTATGCCCCAGCTAGGGGCATTATGTTTTTCGGTCTGTGTGTCCGTTCGTCTGTCCCGCTTCACATTAAAAGTTTTTGGTCAAGGTAGTTTTTGATGAAGTTGAAGTCCAATCAACTTGAAACTTAAAACACATGTTCCCTATGATATGATCTTTCTAATTTTAATGCCAAATTAAAGTTTTGACCCCAATTTCATGGTCCACTGAATATAAAAAATGAAAGTGCAAGTGGGGCATCCGTGTACTATGGACACATTCTTGTTTTTTGTTGTTTTGTTTTTTTTTTAATTCCAAGAGTATTCATCTTCTCTGACTGTTATGTTATATTATCAAATATCACAATAAGAGTATTCAGCTGTGTTAACTTGTGTTTCATAATTTTAGATCACATATCCATGGCAGAGGTTTATATTGCAAGAGAAAAATTGATGCTGGTGAGATGATAATAGAATACTCTGGGGAAGTAATCCGTGGTTCACTGACGGACAAGAGAGAAAAGTATTATGAGGGGAAGGTATGTTTGTTCATTGTGTTTTTCTTGATTTATTAGTTAAGAAGTATTAACATCCAAAATCAGGTGATGCATTGTTTTTCTACTTTTACCTATTAGTTATTGGCAAATGACAAAAACAGGAAAAATTGAGATTTCATGAATTACGCAGTTATATTTTATTTATGGGAAGCTCAGCAGAAATTAAAAAATAAAAATAGTTGTTTTGATATGAATTTTTAAATTTCCTACATACATAAATAAATTTTTGGACCTCTAAGAGGTATTGTGTATGTTGAATTCCTGTCAAAGAATCAGTTGTCTCCTTGTTAAATATTTCAACATGTTGAAAAAGTTGTTCTATAATATTGGTTTATGTTTACAGGGTATTGGATGTTACATGTTCCGTATTGATGATGCCGATGTTGTTGATGCTACGTTACATGGAAGTGCAGCAAGATTCATAAATCACTCATGTGAGGTAATTAAAATATCGCAGTTATCTCAAAGTACAATACATAAAGACAAGCGAAAAAATTTGCTCATTAGAAAATTACTCTAAATAAAATTTTGTCCTAATGTGTTATGCTAAAAATACATATGTTAAATAATAATTTATGTTTATTTTCCAGCCTAACTGTTATTCTAAAGTGATCCAGGTCGAAGGGAAGAAACATATTGTTATCTTTGCCATGAGACAGTAAGTATAAAGGCACTATGTTTTATATATCGTCTGTTAGTAATTTTAGCTGTTATAAAAATTTGTCAATTTCTATATTAATTGTTGGATGCAACTATTTTCAGATCATTATATAGCTGTACATAAGACAACTGCATAGATTGCATAAAAAACTGTAAAACACAGGATTCGTTTCAATATCAGAATTAATATCTTTTTTGTAGAAAACAAGAATATCCCTTCAATAGCTGTTGCAACTATGAAAATAAAACTAAACCATGAGATACAGTGACTTTTCATATTTGGCTGTTATATATTCTGTAATGTTAAAAGAAAAGCCCTGCCTTGACCTATATCCATGTCATTTTGTCTCTTGTGGATAGTTGTCTGATTAATAGCATTCAAATCACATCTCCTTATTTTTAGATAGCATTCTATTTATGAACAAATAGCAGGAAAAAAAGATGTTGTCCCTTCTTAATGAGATGTTAATTTTGTTAATTTTACAGAATAAACAAAGGAGAGGAACTCACTTATGACTACAAATTCCCAATAGAAGAGGTCAAAATTCCATGTACATGTGGGTCAAAGAAATGCCGTAAATATCTCAACTAAGACAGTTGTTTGCCAACCACTGGAAAAGAAACTCCACGACTAGAGCGGTGTAAATAAAATTCAAGAATGACTGTAAATGGAAACTTGATTTGTAGATGATGTGAGAGAAAAGTTGTGCCATGATGATGAAAAAAGGAAATCCTATACTAGCCTACTGTGATATTGTTCTGTAACAGAGATATTATCTAGAGTGTTAATAATACTGTATTGGAACAGAATTATTGACAAATCTCCACAAGGTGTTCTTTGTATCATTGATATTATAAAATTCTATATTCAATTGATTTTACTGTGAAAATGGGTATTAATCTTTCTTTAATCTATACATAAGATATACAACTCTTTGAAAACTATGTTAAATTGTTAGAAATTAAGATTCAGTACCAATCAAGTGCTAAAATAGCCTCTATTTATTTAAAGCACCATGTTTGAACTCAGGATACCATGGGGTTTGAAAGATATTTGAAGACTGAGCATTTTAAAGTGATTGAATAAAGGCATGCAAATGAGATCAGATATTTCTAAAAAGGGAAATAATATTGTGTTTCATCTTTGATTATTTAAATTGTTTCCAAAATAATATAAAACATGTTTTCAAACCAAACTGGTGACATGACATATTATACTACTATGCACTTATTTTATGCAGTCGCCTGAATCGATTTGCAAAGATTTATTTCAAATGAAAGACTGTTTGTTATTCATATTCTGACAATATATATATAGAAACTACCTACAAGATGCAATTGGCGTATTATGTCTACTTTAAGTTCTAGACACCATGGTTTCATTTCTGTATTTAGTTATATTTAAATTTGAATTAATGAATTTACAAAGATCTAATAAAAACAGACCTTGATGGGATGAGGTTTGATAAATAAAAAAAGCAATTGTTATTTTCGTGTATATCATTACCAGAATATATTTTTAATTGTAAATATGTAATTACAATGAAGTGTAAAAATGTACAGTCGTTTAAAGCAACCAGAGATGTGCTATATTTCATTGTTCATTGATACAAGGACATCATTTCACAGCGTCATGTGTTATAAACTGAAAAATAAATCATATGGTTGATCATTAAGGGTGTTTGCATACACATATTTTGTGTGTTGTAACAGGCCAGTATTCACATTGTTTTGATAACATATATATTTGTGCCATAAAAAAAATTAAAAGGTAAACTACTGTTATTTTAGCTAATATGTCATAAACATGCAAGAATATCTGTAATTCTCAGTGTCATTATATAGTGTCTTCAATACTTATTTGTTGCAAAAGATTGAGGAGATTCAAATGCAAACTATTGTGTGGTAATTTAAGAATATTTCCTTGTTTGTATGTTCAAAAGTAAAACTGTGAAATGATGTCCTTAAATGTGAAATAAACCTCCATGATTGATAGCTATTATCTATCTACAGTTGTTAGCATTGTTTACATTTTATACATTTACATACACACATATATTTATTTGTTGTACATAGTTTTATATTTTTTGTGTTTTCGAACAATGAATGGTCTCCTTTAGCAATTGAATACTAAAAATAAAATTTACAAATTATGGTATTTAAAAATGGACTTAATTTGTTTATAATGGTTCTCCTACTGTTGGGATCTGGCAACACTCTTCTTCCACTCAAGAAAAAGCAAATCCTAACCCTAAACCTTTGTAAAAACTTGGCTTTACTCTCTATAGCTACGATTTTATTTTTTCTTATTTGGTCTATTCGTCAGATACTATAACCAATAGGTCAACAGTAATTGGTGAAAGGAACGATTGTAAAGTGTGCATAATAGAAAATAAAGGATATGTCTGTCTGGCAGGGTTCATCTAACCTTGACCTCATTTTTATGGTTCATTAGTCAATGTTAAGTATTCATGGTGATGTTTGTTTCTCTGATATCATTCTATAAGCAATAGGTTAACTATATTTGATGTATGGAATGATTGCATGGTGTACATGTTGTCTGGCAGGGTTTGTCTGACCTGGACCTAATTTTCATGGTATATTGGTCAATGTTCATAAGGGGCCTGGTGGCTTAGTAGTCCAACTACTGTATCAATAGCCTGTCAACACGGAGGTTGTGAGTTCAAAATTTCACGGGGCAGGCTTCCTCCACAAAAGTCCCCAAAATGTGGTCCAAAGTAGAGTTTCAATCCATTTGAGTGATAACCTTTTCTGAAACCATTAATATTTATCTACAAGTGGTTAAATAAAAATCATATGCATTTCACCTCATATTTCAATAAAATTGAAATGATAAGTTCAAGCGTAAATTATATGTTGGAAAACACTACAATAATATCTGGACCTATAGGAGGTATGGATGTGAAAATACGCACTGACTGTCAAAACAGAAAATGGCCTACAAAACATGCAAAAAACAAGTCTTGCTGTTCATTTAAACCTACTTTGAAGGCTATATTATTCTTCAGCTATCTAAAAATTAGTTTTATTGCATAAAAACATATCTGAAAAATTCACCCGACCCAAAATGCAAAACCAAACTCCTAACTGTGTATTGCATTAGGAAATGAGAGCAAAGACTGGTCGACTTGGAGTGGAGTAGTTTTTCTGCAGACTAACCCAATGGCTAGTATGTTAAAAATCTGACTTTGTGTCAGTCTCGTACAAAGCAGGGTAAATTCATATCTCATTAACATGTTGACTATGCATGTTATAATTACAGCTAGAAGTTTAGATTCATCTTTCTGAACATTTAGTAAGAAAAAAGTTAGAGATAAGTTACATTTTCAGACCTGCTCCAAATGCCTTGAAATCATACATACTGTCTGCAAACAAAGTCAAATGTAAGTTGATTCATCATGATGTCCAATCATAGGGCTATTTTCCATTTAAAATATTTTTGTAATAGATTTTTGCATTTGATTGTTATAAGTGGTCTAAATCCTCACAAAATTATTTGCATGATTACTTTGCAATTTAACTTACATATAGAACAGTATTCATTTTTGATCCAGGCTAGTTGCACCATGGGAGACATTTTGCTACAATGTAGCACTTGATTTTCTTTGCATTGAAAGTTTTAAAAAAGGGGGTTGGGCCAGTGTGAGCTTTTAGTGTTTGTGGTCTTTGTCATAGCCTGTTATTTTTTTTATAAAAAATCTCTGAAACTACCTGGCCAAATTAAACAAAACCCAGACACACTCATCCTTGGGGTGTTTAGTTTTAAAAATGTGTCCAAATTTACCTCGCGTGTCAACTTACATGGCTGCCAATCATAGGAATAAAGTGCAAATATTGTCTATTATTTTGACTATTTTTACCAATTTTTTGTGTTTTTGCCTATTATTTGTATAAGATAAAAGAAGTTGTGGATTATGCATGTAGGTATGGGTAAGTATCGCGGTGAATTTCTCTTTAAACAGTCAGTAGTTGTGTTTCAGGCTATTAATTCAGGTAATTTGTTCCAATCTTTTATAGTTTGGTACAAAAAAGAACTTATAGATGTCTGTTCTGCACTGGATTTGTCTATGTTTTGTTCGTGATTAGACCGTGTCTGTTTGCGTAAATTATATGTTATGTGAGAAAGGCCATTCTGTTGTTGGCAGATGGGGCCGGTCCCCCTTTTAATGGAGCTACATATATGCTAAATGCATGGACTTTTTACATGTCTAACTTCTAACGGTGCCTAGTTTGGCCCCTCCCCCTTTTCAAAATCCTGGAATTTCATCTGGTTGGTGATTTGGATCATTTTTAAACGACAGCTTCTTGTAATGAAGTGCAGTGCAGTGTTTTAAGCCTTTTATAACACTTTCAGTGTAAGAGTATTTAGAACAAAAATATCTTGCTGCACGTTTTTGTCCATGGGACTTTTGTCGCAGAAAGCTCGACATAGGGATAGTGATCCTACGGGGCGGCGTTAGCTAACTTCTTAAAAGCTTTATATTTTAGAAGGTGGAAGGTCTGGATGCTTCATACTTTGTATATAGATGCCTCATGTTACGAAGTTTCCGTCAGTCACATGTCCAATGTCCTTGACCTCATTTTCATGGTTCAGTGACTACTTGAAAAAAAAGTTAAGATTTTTTGTAATGTTAAATTCTCTCTTATTATAAGTAATAGGATAACTATATTTGGTAAGTTCGTACCTTGCAAGGTCCTCATGTCCGTCAGACAATTTTCACTTGACCTCGACCTCATTTCATGGATCAGTGAACAAGGTTAAGTTTTGGTGGTCAAGTCCATATCTCAGATACTATAAGCAATAGGTCTAGTATATTCAGTGTATGGAAGGACTGTAAGGTGTACATGTCCAACTGGCAGGTGTCATCTGACCTTGACCTCATTTTCATGGTTCAGTGGTTATAGTTAAGTTTTTGTGTTTTGGTCTGTTTTTCTTATACTGTATGCAATAGGTCTACTATATTTGGTGTATGGAATGATTGTAAGGTGTACATGTCTAGCTGGCAGGTGTCATCTGACCTTGACCTCATTTTCATGGTTCAGTGGTCAAAGTTAAGTTTTTGAGTTTTGGTCTTTTTTTCTAATACTATATGCAATAGTTGAACTATATTTGGGGTATGGAAATATTTTATGATCTATTTGTCAGTCACGCAGGTTTTTTTTTTTTACCTTGACCTCATTTTCAAGGTTCATTGCTCAGTGTTAAGTTTTTGTGTTTTGGTCTGTTTTTCTTAAACTATAAGCAATAGGTCAACTATATTTGTTATATGGAAGAATTGTTAGCTGTACATGCCTTCCTAGCATGGTTCATCTGACCTTGACCTCATTTTCATGGTTCATTGGTCAATGTTTAGTTTACTTGGTTAATGTTAAGTTTATGTGACAGTTGTAATAAAGCTTTATATTTAGAACTATCAACATAATATCAATGATTAGTAAAGAAGGCGAGACATTTCAGCATGTGCATTCTTGTTAGACCTTTTATATGGAGTTTCTGTTTTCAGTTGTAAAAAGGATCCCAGACGATGCAATAGTTTAGTCTAACAAGGGCTTGGTATGCTTGCTGGAGGTGATGAGATGATTAAAGCTGTAAATTTTCTCCTCGACAACATTTAAGTGCGTTTCGGCAATGAAGTTTCTCGGCAGGTTGTAGGCATTCCTATGAGCACCAATTGTGCCCCTTAGATAGTAGATTTTTCGTTAAATAATCATGTATTCTCTAAATATACATCCGAACGTTACCCAAAGGAACTTACTTTGAATAATCAAATATTAACAGCAATAACTGTCCTTGTCTACATTTAGATATTTCGGTTCTACACGAAAAACTCTACACAAAAATTTACGACAAAAGAGACGATTTTTCTTTCCCTATTGTTAATTTTCCTTTTTTAGACGGTGATGTTTTTTTTGGCACCGTCATACGGTGTTTATATATCCCAACTCGTTCGCTATTCCCGTGACAGTAGTGACGTTTTGGATTTCAATGAGCGTTATTTATGTATTGCTGGTAAATTATTAAGTCAGAGATTTCGTTACCACAAATTACTTAAAACCTTTTCTAAATTTTTCCATAGATACAATGATTTAGTTTGCAAGTTTGGCTGTACCTGTAGAAAACGTATTTCAAACGAAATAGCACATCCTAATTTTTACGGGGATGCTGTTTACCGAGCCAGGAAATTTAGGTACGATACGGGATACTTATCAGTCCTTTAAATAAACTTATTCTAAAAGGTAACCTATTCAACACTGTAATTAGATCTTTGAATATCGTATTTATTAGTATAGATATTGATTTTGATATCAGTAAAATTAAAACCATACTAAATATTATCGTTATACACATATGCACAATCTGTCGATACTTACATTTTGGCATTGCACAAGGTCATATTTTTCTTTGACTGTTAATAACGTCTTTAATCTAAATCCAGTGTATGTTGGATGTGTACTGATTGATATTTTAATCTAAGATACAAGATTTTTTTATTAGTTGTTAATGGCTTTGAACTAGCTGTCAGACTGTCAGTAACTGCGAGTCTCTCAGATCTTTACTTAGTGGCTTTTTTGTAGTGTGATGTATAAATACGCTGCCACGTCCGGTCTGTGTATTCGTTAGATGTATTCTGCTTTGTGTCGATCTGATAAGTTAAGGCCTTTTCAACTGATTTTTATAATTTGTTCATATGTTGTACTGTTACATCACTCTCCCAGGTTAGAGGAGGGTTTGGCGCCAGCAAACTAGTTTAACTCCGCCACATGTGCCTGTCCCAATTAAGGAGCATGTAGTTCAGTGGTTGTCGTTGGTTCATGTCTGTCATATTTGTTTTTTCGTAAATCATTTTGTTATAAATTAGGCCGTTAGTTTTCTCAAATGAATTGTTTCATATTTTTCATGTCGGGGCGTTTTATAGCCGACTATACTGTATGTTTTTTTTCTCATTGTTGAAGGCCGTACGGTTGCCTATAATTACTTACATACACTTTATTTGAACTTTGGTGGATAGTTGTCTCATTGGCAATCATACCACATCTCCTTATTTTATATTGGTCTTTATCACCGAGTTTATTTAAGATTTCCTCTGATAAATAATAGTTTTATTTACTTCAGATGTCATGTTCGGAATGTGTTAGTTGCACTT